CTCTTATTGACTGTTGATCTGTGACGACAAAAAGATGAGACAAAAAATGCCGATACAAAGAAAAGTAGTGACCCCCATTGTGAATGAGAGACCATCCCCTTTTGATAGACATATATTACCGACATGCATAAAGACAAAGAAAGAAAAGAAAGAGAAAAAAAAAACCTAACTAGATCATCGATCATCAAATGAGACCATGTGCCATCAAGAAAGTATACTCATCCCACCCACTGTGAACAACGACTGTAGTGGAATTTTTTTTTTTTTATTCAAGTGATCAGATGAATAAAATCATAGACAGATGGATGATAAGTTTAACTATTGAAACTTACAACATCAAAAAAAAAGGTTAATTTTTTTTTTATTTTTAGAAAATAATTCGTCCAATCAACAACAATCATTTAAATGTCCTTATTGTTCTGATGAATTTCTTCAAATAACACATTTACATTTACATACAAGTCAATGTCATCCTGAACAAACAGAAAACTTAATTAGTTGTCTTCATTGTAATGCAGTTTTTACTAATAAAGTATGTTATTAAAATTTAACAAAAAATTTAAATATATATATTTTTTTTCTTTCTTAAACTTAGGAGGATTTACATCAACACGAATTAAATCATAATGCAAGTCAAGTAGCATGCCATTTATGTAATAAAATTTTTGCAAATATTTATCGTCTTCAACGTCATATGTTAAGTCATGAAGTTGATCCACAAACAAGAAAATTTAAATGTTCTCATTGTTCAAAAGCATTTAAATTTAAACATCATTTAAAAGTAATTCTGACATAAATAAATAAATAAATAAAATTTTCTTCGAATTATTTAGGAACATGTTCGTATACATACAGGCGAAAAACCATTTGTTTGTGCTAATTGTGGTAAACGTTTTTCTCATTCGGGTTCATATTCATCACATATGACATCAAAAAAATGTTATGCATATCCACAATCAACACTAAATAATAATTTGCATTCATCACCCACGCAAGTACCACAAACAACAAATCCATCAGTAGCTGCTTTATTAGCTACACGTTCAATGCTTAATTTTGGTCCATTTGCATTAGCTGCATTAGCTGCTGCAGCTGCTCAACAACAACAACAACGTAAAGATTCATATTCATCAACACCAAAATCACATTCACGTAGTCCATCACCATCAACGTGGCCATCAATATCATTAACAACTCCACCATCGTCATCATCATCGGATAGAAATAATAATTTAAATCATGAAATTGAAGCTGGTGAAATTCCAACAATAACATCACCTATACGTAAACGTAAACGTCGTAGTTTATTATCAAATGATCAAGATAATTCATTATTAACAACAACATCAACATCAACAAATGATTTACTTGATAAACAACAATTAAATATGTTACGTGCACATTATGCTTTAAATCCATATCCAAATGCAAATGAATTACATGAAATATCAAAACGTGTTGGTCTTAGTGAACAACATGTTCAACATTGGTTTCATGTTTTACGTACAAGTTATGCTACAGCTAATAATATTAAATCATCTGTTAATACAATCATTCCATCAACATCAACCGGTGGGAATCAAAATAATAATAATAATAATAATACCAATGCAACAACACCATTTTTACCTCTTGCTTATTATCATTTACGTGCATCATTAATGGCTGCTGCTGCAACAAATAATTCATCAATACCTCCACCACCACCACCTCCACCACTTCCATTTTCATCATTAAATTCAAATATATCGAAAGAACAAACTGAACCATTAGATTTAACAGTAAAAAAATCTCATATGAAATCCGGTGACCAACAACAACAACTAGCTGCTCATTTACATATGACTGCAACAGTTGCATTTAATAATGATACAAATTGGTACGAAAATAAAAATGAATGGATCAAAGTACTGTTTTAAAAACATTTTATTTATTTTTATTAAATATAAATCATATGATTTTTTTTTCTTTCTTCTAGAATGAATCATTTAGTCCTGATAGTACAGCTGATAATTGTTCATCTGAAACAAGTCTTTTATCAAATGATGAATCATCATCTTTATGTGGTCAATTAATGGATAATGACTTAACACGTAAAAGAAAATCATGGAAAAATCATATACAAGGTGAAATGTATGCATGTGACATGTGCGATAAACGTTTTAGTAAACAAAGTTCATTAGCACGACATAAATATGAACATTCAGGTAAATGAGGAAAAAATAAAATTAATAAGAAATATTCTTTTTGCTTTTATGTATATTTTAGGTGTTCGACCATTTGTATGTGATGTTTGTACAAAAGCATTTAAACATAAACATCATTTAGCTGAACATCGTCGTTTACATACAGGTGAAAAACCATTTCAATGTACAAAATGTTTTAAACGTTTTAGTCATTCTGGTAAGTAGAATTTAAAGATTGATTTTATTTTTTATTTACTTATTGATTTGTTTTATTTTGTATTTTAAAGGTTCGTTTAGTCAACATATGAATCATCGATATAAATATTGTCGTCCATATCAAACTGAAGCTGCAGCAGCCGCTGCTGCGGCTGCCGCAGCTGTTGATACAAATCGATTAAATGATAATCCAAATATGATTATGGAAGATGATGAACTTATTGAAGATGAAGATCTTGAAGATAAACAACAACAACAACAACAACAATCTCAAAATGAAGAAGAAGAAATAGAAACAAATCATATAGAAGATTCAAACCAACAAAATGAGATAAATAATGCTACAATAAATGAGTAAAAATTATTGGTTCGACACATTATAAACACTCCATTGTGCCATATTCCGCAAAAAAAAACAAATATCGAGTTTATATGTAGCCAGATAGAACCTTTTCAATGTTTCTCATACCACAATGAAAATACACTGAAAAAAATGAGAAAAAAAAATTGAATTTTTCGGTGTTTTTTTTTTGTTTTTTTAGTCAAATGAAAAATTTTCGTTTCTTTTTCTAGTCGTTCTCTATCCTTCATTGTTGTTGTTGTTATTGATGTTCATTATTTATATAAATATCTATAGATGTTCTTTTTTTTCTTCTTCATCTTCCCATCATATGTTTTTGTGTATGTGTGTATGTACGTTTTCTTTTTTTTTTTTTGCTTTTTGTGATTATTTTTCGCCGTTGTCTGTTGTTATTTGTATGTATTATGTGTGTGTATGTATGTATTAAAAAACAAAACAACAAAATAACACTATCACAGTTCTTCCATATATTTGTGTACAGAGTTTCTTCACTGCTGTTGCTGCTATTGAGTTATTTACTTTTTTTTCGTCTTCTTGAGAAACACCTGACAAACGTTCATTGTGATTGGTGTGTTTCTTCATTTTCTCTCGCTCTTTTTTTTCTTTTTGCTGTTGTCTGATGATGTTTTATGTTTGTAAGTGCGTGTGTGTGGTATGTTGTCTTTAAGAGACAGAAAACCTTTTTTTTTTGGTAAAATGAAAAATAAAAAAGAATGAAACGGTCACCTGTCTGACCACACACACATACATACATATGTATATATATATATATATATATTTACATGTAGAAAGAAAGAAAAAAAACGATGAACATTTGTTCTTATTTCGATATTCACGCATGGAAGGCTGATCGTTTAACAGGTATACTTATTGATGTGATGATCTAATCCTCGGATGACTGAATATACATAATAGCGAATAATCATACATATAAAAGATTATTCGGAAAGAATATCTAATTATTTGAATCAAGTAGAGTTCATCGGATATTATATTTTTTGTTTTCGCATCTGGTTTATTTAAACTTTTTCAGAGCCGCACTCCTAATTTCAATAAAATTTTGTAGTCTGTGTCGAATAGTCGCTCGAAATTCTACTACTCGTACATCTCTACACATCTCTCAAACAATCTTGACAATGATCTTATAATAATCAAGTTATAATTGACTGTTATTTTTAGAGTATGATCCGTTGAATCGGTCTCAGAATCAACACGATAGGCTCTAGAATCAGGCTCCTAGATTCGAAAGGAAATGATAAAGGAAACTTTTCCTTCAAAAGACTTTAGGCTTTGTGTGAAAATTTCTAAAATCTTTTGCAAGATCTTTTATGATCTCATGGAATATATAGAAAGCAAGTTTTAAGTCTGTTATGTTTGTCTCTGGCAGAAAGTGATATGAAGATATTTTCTACTAAAAAGTTCCAACGAGAGTCAATGATTCTATTATTCTATGTTCTGTGTCTGCTGAAAAGTAGAATGAAAGGACTTTTTGCAAACACTTTTAGTTCTTTCTACGTACCAAAACAATCGAGAATTTTAATCTAAATGATTTTGTTTTGGTAACATTCCTATCAGCAAGTAAGCTGTAAGTTTAGAATAGATACAAACAAAAGCTAGTATGTTGTATACTATCTCGATGAATTTTATTTAAAATAATCATTTATGAGTAGTAAAACTCGATAATCATCATGAATCACTACTTTTATGATTCGATCCGAGATAAAGCAGTCTTTTTTTTTGTAAGACTAAAATCGTATATAATTATTTCATAATTCGACTTGAAATAATTTCCGATAAGAAACTTAATCATCTGAAATTGTTGGTATTTTCCTTAAGAAAAACACAAGATTACATTTTTTAATAAATTTTGTAATCGAACACAAATCGAATTGCAGATTTCTTACTTTCATATTTATCATGACTTTTATATGGACATTTGAATGATCGCTACAAGCAATTTGTTCAAACTGATAACTCATGTCTGACACTTGAAACAATCTATAAGCTCCAAGTACAGAATTTGAAAACCATCTGAAGTCCTTCTTCTGCAGACGCCTTTCTTAAATAATCTCCTAATGTACTTTTTTCGTTTTTTTTCTCTCTTTCTCATTAATCTATATATACACCTAACTATATGTAAGCAGTCAACCGCGAAGTCTAAAATCCATGTTTATTTTACCTTTTTCTTTTTTTTGTTTTTATAGATAAAAAACGAACCATTTTCTCTATTCATAATAATGGCGGCATTTCCAGTACAATTACCTCTTGCTCAAAAAGATATTCTCGATGATATAACAAACGAAATAAAACAATTTGATTGGGAAACAGGCGAATGTCTTTTTAGTGATTTTATTGAATATTTTCAATTACCTCAAATAATCCGTGTTAGTCAATCATGGGAAACAAATTTAGTTAAAAATGATATACTTTATTTACAATCAATACATGATCGACATTTGATTATATCAAAATCTTTATTTCCAGATGATCGAACATTTATTGTTCCAGATTGGTTTCAAGGTCAATGTCGTGTATTATCAGCAAATCCAATATATAAACCTCGTTGGTGGGAATTTACTAATGCTTTAGAATTATTACGTTTTAAAATGCCACGTGAACATATACGTTTACTTCGAGATACATCGGTTCTATTATTATTACCAACAAATCAAACAATACCTGTTTTATTAAAACAAAATACACACCTTACATTAAACCGTATTGAAAAATCAGCAACAATAACAAATGGAAAAGAAATGTTTGTTTTAATGGATAAAAATGATCAAGAATTTCTTCTTGATCCAACTGATACAACAAATGTATTTCATTTTGCTACAAAAATTCTTGATGATGAATTTGATAGTTCATATCATAAGAATACAGCGGATAGTTTATTTACATTACCAGAAATAATTATACGTTATGAATTACCAATTGATATTGAATTTACGTCGTCAATAAATACAGTACCAATTCCAAATTTTCCTACAAAATTACGTCTTGAAAAATTTTGTATTGGTAAATCAATTATTGCTTTTTCTATAGGTGATCCTAATCATCCACGAATATTAGAACTTTCTTCTCTTACACAATTTTCTCTTAATTGTATTAAGTAAGTTTGGAATTTTGTTTTAACTTCAAATTAAATTAAAATGATTTAATAAGATGCTTAACAACCGGTCTACCACGCGATACGAGTGTTTCTGAAGAAACACCTACATTTGATGAAAATGCTTATATTCATTATGAAAGGGTACGAGATCGACTTATACAATTATTTGAAGACATTTCATTACAATATATACGTACACCATTTATTGGAACTAAAGAAGAAGTTTGTTTGAATTTATTGTTATTGAAATACATTGTTGATTCTTCTTTTTCTTTTTCTTTTGTTCTAATAGATTGACTGTATTGAACAAGCCCATGATGTTGGTGTAAAGTTAAAGAATGAAGATCAAGGTGAAACTTTTATCGTACTTAATGAAGCGAATAATGCTAATAATGAATCATCTAGTGTTATACCATCGATTAGTAAACATCCAGCTCGATTTACAGTACATTTACCTGCTGATTTTAGTAAGTTATTGTGCATATTCTTAACATCGAGTTGTACTTCAATTTCGAAAGTAGAAAATTTTGATTGGATTTGAACTTGAAATATTTATCTGAATAGAAACTACGGAAATCTCCATGATTCATTTATTGCTAGAGATATTTATTTTCTTAAATATTATTGGTAAGACTGATAAATATCCGATTAAGTTTGTACAAGAAGTACTGTTCTGATGAACATAAAACTTATGTTTTTTCAAAGTAAGAATCGAATACACGAAATTTCTTAAGACAATATCATCTTTTATGTGGTGTTTTTCAATAAAACAACAAAAAAAAGTATAATCCAAATATCTTGTGCAGTCTACGAATAGTAGTAATTACCTTTTTTCGTTGAGAAAATTCTGTAATTTATGATTTTGTAAAGCCACTGTTTCTTTACTAATGTCATAATCGATCTTTCAATTAGTATTCAATTTTTATCTAATACAACTAAAATATATTGTCTGATCACGTCATAAACAATATAACTAATTATTCCTCATTTTTCTTTTTTTTTTTTTTTTTTTTTTTTTTATAGATAGTCCATACAGCAATGTTATGGATTTGGGTGATGATGATGAAGATCATGAAATTCCACCATCAACAAATACTTAATCAAATATATCTTTTTCTTTAGACAATCATAAGCTTTCTTATTCTTATTCTTTTTTTTCCAATAAAAAAAATCCTTGTTTTTATTCATCTTTTTTGTTTTTATCTTATCGGATGTATATAATAAGCATCTGATATACGTACACAAATACATATATAGTAGAACATGAACAAATAATGTTTATAATCAAAAAAACAAAACGACCAAAAAAATATTGTTTCTATGCAAAAGGAATAATATTCCATTGCCTATAATAATAACAAAAGAATAGACTAGAAAAAAAAAACATCTATTAATAAATACAAACTTACGGATTAACAATACGTTTCATCATCATTGATTGTCGATAATCGGTTACAATAACTCCTGATGGTGTCAATGATATATTACTATTTGTTTGTATTGAATTTATTTTATTATTTGATATTGGTGATGAAGATAAATTCATATCAGACCGTGTTTGTTTTATAAAACTGTTATTACTACTTTTAGGACTATCGATTAAACTACGATTCGTCAAACTTTCTCCACTACTATTTAATGAACGTTGATGAAGTACTGAACGATAATGTTGTCGACGATATAAATTTGAATTTGGTGTTACGGGTACTGTTCGTTTAATCCATATTTGATTTGTTCGATCAATATCTGTTGTACTACCCGGTGTTGTTTGAATACTTTCATGACTGATGGAATTATTCATTGTTTGAGATATTGATTGATTCAAATCAGATGTAATGGATGGTTGAATTTTTAATATTTGCATTAATTCTTTACGATATGTTTCTCGTTCTAGTTTTTCACCATCATGAATAACCTATTAGTATGAAAAGAAAAAAACGATTAAAAAAAAAATAATTTGTTTTTCTTTTTTTGAATCTACTTTTAAAATAGCCGGATCATTATCAAGTTCGGGAATAATAAGATTCGTTTGACTATAGTAAATCGACACTAAAATCGATAGGAAGAAATCTTTTTTTAAAACATATTCACGAAAATAAAATTTTCTTACTTATCGAAATGTTATAAAATGTGTTAGATGAATTTCTATTCTTTCGAATTTACTAGACGATAGATTTAACGGTCTATCTATTATCTATTATTTCTCGACAGTTATGTTTTCATGAAGCTGACTATATAGTATTTTCTTTCGTATTTATTAAATTCGAAAAAGTTTTCTATCGGTTTATAACGACATCTATCGATGATATAGTATTTGCCAATAAGTATATTTCTCTTGTTATTTAGATGCTCTTTTTTCTTTTTTTTATTTTATTGTACTGACAATGTCTTCTTCTTTGGAATCTGATCCGATACTTGTTAGTTATCAAGATTCAATTGTACGTTTATCAAATTTAAAAACTCTCGATGATTCAAATTGGCTTGACGATAACATAATAACATTTGCTTTTGAATATTTACAATATGAATCAAAATTTACTAATGATATGAAAAATTTATTTGTATTTGTTACACCACCTGTTGTACAATTATTAAAAATGAGTGATAATTTATTTGCTGAACAACTTCTACAATCGATAGATTTTCTTGAAAAAAAATTTCTTATTTTACCAATTAATGATAATACACGTGTAACAGTTTTTGGTGGTTCACATTGGTCATTATTAATACTTTCTATTCAAGGTATGATAATAAGAAAAAAAATTTATAAAATTTTTTTTGTTAGAATTAATAAAAATTTTCTTCAGAAAAAATTTTATATCATTTTGATTCAATGTCATTATTAAATGATCATACAGCAAAAGAAGTTCAACAAAAATTTCAAGCATTTTTTCATGATGATCATATAACTTTAATAAATTGTCGTTGTCCACAACAAAAAAATGGTTTTGATTGTGGATTATATGTAATTGTTATTGTTGAAGAATTTTGTCGATTTATTTATGAATATTATTCATTAAAAAATTCCAATAAAGATAAATATGATAAAGATCTTTTTGAAAAATTTATGAATGAAATTAATCAATGTATTTCATCGGAATATATTAATCAACGACGCAAACAATTAAAAACATTACTTGAATCAATGAGTATTAATAGAAAAAAATGACTTTAAAAAAGACACTATCTATAAACCAGCATTTGTTTTATTTGATCTATGGAGCTCTTTTTTTTTATTAAAAACTAAACTTTGTTTTTCTATTAACTTAGTTAATTGCAGTTACTCTTATGATAGTCGTTTTTATGCACATTTATATAATGATCAACAGAAGCGAGAAATGACGACAAATAAACATACATTGAAGAAATTGAAAGCAATAACAGTACTCTTCAAGTATACTCTTACAAGCATTTTTTTTTCTTCATGTGGAACAGATGAGACAGAACGAAAAAAAAACAAATATCGATATGATAGATTCTTTTTCATTAGAATCTTGTCTTTTCTTTCATTTTGTATTTGTCTACAACCATCCGTTTTTTATTATTTTAAAAAATTTACTTCGATTACAACATGAATCCAACATATCAAAAGAATGCTTTATAATACTTTAAACTTTATTGTACATCAATTATTTTTTGATAGATACATCAATGATAAATATTTTGTTTTTCGTCTTTTAGATTAACTACTTTTCAAACGAATATTGATTATTTACTAATCAATATGTCGGGTCGAACACCGAGTTTTATTGTTGTTGGTCTTGTTATTATTATGTTTCTTCTTGGTCTTTTTTACATGTCATGTTCATCAAAAAATACTGAACTTCGACAATCTTTAGAACAATTTGAAGAACGTATTCGATCGGTAAAAAATAAGACGAAAAAAAATATTTTTTTTTTCAAATCTATTCATATAATTATCTTTTCATTTATTAGTTAACAATAAAAAATAGTGATGCAGAAAAAAAACTTGAAAGTATTATTTCACGTAAACGTGAACTTGATGAAGAAAAATTAGCTATTCAACGACAAATGGAAAAAAAAGATTCCGAAATTAATGATCTTAATACAAAATTAAATGAAAAATTAGCTGAACTTCAAAGTCTTAAAACAGATAAAAATGTTCTTGATGAACAATTAGTAAATTTGATTTAAACAAAAAAAAAGAATTAATTTTCTATTTCATTCCTTTGGTTCTTTTTATTAACTAGAAAGAATATAAATCAATGAGAGAAACACTTGGTTCAAAAGATTCATTTATTGAAAAATTAGAACAACAAATAAATGATGAAAAAAGTTTGTAGAAATTGTTTTTTTTTTGTTTTCTTATTCTACAAATTTAATCTCATTCTAATATTTTAGAATCTCATAATGATGAATTAAATCGTTTAAAACGAGAACAGGAAACATTAAAAAATAGTCAATCGTAAGTATCGATTCAAAATTTTCTTCATATTTAAATAATATTCTATTAGTTCACAAAATAATCAATTACCTGCACAAAATGAACAACAAAATGCTTTTATAATTCCACAACAACGTTTTCGGCCATTGCTACCAAATAATGTAACAACAAGAAGTCTTGCAGCATTATTGCAAGATCCTTTAAATAAATTAAATAATCTAACACACGAAGTTAAAGCACAAATAGCTCCAGCAGCATTAGATCTGCGAGATAAAGCTTTAGATGTACTTGGTGTTGATAAAAAGACATCAACTACTACAATATCAAATGAACAACAACAAGATGTTAATAATGATAAACTTCATCAACAAGCTAATCAAAATGTTCCACCACCACCATTAGCTAATCATGCACAAGAACAAGAACAACAACAACAACCAGATCATGTTGAATCAGTTCGAGTTGCACCTCAACCTTCAAACATAGCTAATGAAGAAAGTAATTTAAGAATAAAAATATGAAAAATAAATTGATTTTATTCATTGTATATCTTAGTAGAAAACCCATTTCAACAACTTTTATAAGTAAATAGAATAATGAACCTAGTGTAAAATACTAATTAAAATAATCAATAATCTATTAAGTACTAAACCACAAAAAAAGTCCATTTCCGTCACATTAATTGAAATTAAGATAAATGCATGGAAGGATAGCTTGAGGTCGAATCCTTCACAAAGAAAATTGTTCTTTTATTTCGCATGTCGTTCTTTTCTAACAAGGTTTTGATGATGTCTGTGACCTTTTGCTTGAAGAAAAGAAAAACCAAGGAAGATCTTTTTCATTTTTTCTCTATTTATGTTTTTTTTTATCGCGCATGCTAGAATCCTTGAAGGAATGTCATTATAGCTAACCACTTTGCTTGTTTGTTTGAAAGAGCATGTGAAACTGCAGTTCTTGACGGAATTCAATTCCGTTAATTAAAGTTTTTTATTAACTATAGAAAAATGCTCTTCTATAAATAGATGGCCATTTTCTTGAGAGTTTTTCAAAGTATTGAACTTATCATCCTTTTTCTCTGCATAAGAAGTCAGAATCTCAAAAAAAAAACAACTACTCTGTCCAGCATTGCAGTCAAATATGCTCCTTAAAATAAGAAAAAAATTGAACCTATAGAAATGAAGACTCATTAGAGATGAAATCGGTCTGGATTTTTCACGATCGATACTGGTACCAGTCTAAGTAGACCTGACCGAACCAGTCGGTCTATCGACGACGACCGATCTATCGATTACTGACCGGTCTGAAACCCGTACCGGTACTGGGTCCGTCTCTGGGACCTACGGAGAATTTCATGCTGTCAAGTGAACTATTTTTTAACCTTTGTTTGACAAATACTTCCTAAAAATGTTATGGTATAGGGCTAAAAATTTTAGCATAATCTTTTCATCGTACCCTAAATATATCCTGAAAATTTTATGCAATTCGAATGCATCTGATCGAAGATCGATTTTTGATGGTAGTGGAGTGAAATATGAATTATATTATTTTAGATCAAGTAGCAGCAGATAATCCACAATATCAGCAGCGTGTAAGATAATATTAAATATATTTTTTATTTAGATTTTTGTTTTTCGTCTTATTTTCTAGTTACAACGATCCTTAAATAATTCAATATCTGATAATAACAATATAAAATCTTTGGATAATATTGAAAATGAAAATGATGATGAAGAACAAGTTGATGTAGACAATTTACAACAGAATATTGTTTCTCCTTTAAATTCTATCCAACAAAATAATGTAGAAAATAATAATCGTCCTATGGGTGCTTCTTCACTATTACAATCGAATGATAACAATAATGATAATAATTATCCTATAGCTAATCGTGAACGATATCGACAAATTAAAAATAAAATTCGAGAAGAACAAAATGTTGAATAATCAAGGAGAAAAATCGATAATGATCATAATACAAATAGAGAAAATCACGATGTTCAAAAACACAATGTTTTGTGATTTACATCTTATGTTTTTCTTTATTTGTATATATATATATCTTTCCATTTTTGTTTTTGTTTCTCTTAAGATTTCTCTTCCAATATGTATTTCTGCTGCTGCTGCTGCTGCTGCTGCTATTGTTTTTCTCGTTATAAATGTTTTCTTTTCGAATGGTTGTTTTGTTTTCTGTTACTTGACGAAATATTGTGTGTATGTGTGATTTTCTTTTCTTATTTTATTCGTCTATATGGAACAATTACTTTAGTTGAGATGATTTTGTTTTCTTGTTTCTTTTCATGTAATAAAAAGAACAAAAAGCTTATATTGCAACAGTTAAAACAGAATAAAAAAACTATAACTCAATAAAACTATTCTTGGAAGTTTATTTGTTAGAATTTATTTCAATAACAAAAAGGAATTAAAGTATTTTAGTTAAATTTTTAAAAACAATTGTCAGAAAGAACAATTGCAATCTTAAACACGATTCGAATATGCAAATTTTCATGACGTTACAGATTTTATTCCAAGATATAGCACGTTCACTTTTGTTTCGATCTGTCAAATTCATGAATCTTATGATTGATTCATGTTATGAAACATATTTTTTATTTAAGAATAAATGTAAAATTTTCAATAGAACACTTAGTCTTCTGATGTTTACAATAAGATTAATCTTCAATAAAATATTCATAAATCAATTAAAGAATATTCAAAAATTACAACTTGGTCAAAATAAACTCATTCTGCAAAGAGACTATTTGATGTATAATTTTCATAATTATTGAAACAGTCAAATCAAGCAAAACTTCAATTTGAAACGATAATTTTTTTTTAAACTGTAAATATTCGAAAATATATGACAAAAAAATTTGATACTTTGATACGTTAAGAATGAGTTCATTTCATGTCATGAATTAACATGCAATTGTAATGTTTTCAATTCTAAGAACTTTATTGTTTCAATTTTTAACTAAAAATGGCATCAGTTATTCCACAATAAAATATTATATTACATATTGTTTTCATAATTCAGTTTTCTTTATGATTATTATCAAATTCTAGTAATATCATTAGATGAAAAAAATTTGGATTATTCTATATAATTCTTATTTGAAATGAGTACTAATGTCTATTTAATAAAAAAACAAGATAGGTGGATGTATTTTTCTGATAACTTTTCATCACAATTACCTATCGAGTCCGGATTTGTATCGTTTGAAAGAGGCTCTACCAGAGTGCATCGATTCATATAAAACTATTGGGATTCACTTTCTAAGAAATTAATGACTTATGGTCATCTTGAAAAAGTAGACTGTGGTTCTAGGAAGATAAAATGAAATTTTTTAACTAGATTTCTATTGAACATAAGACATGAGATACAAATTGATTTAGTTGACAAACATTAACATGTTGTTTAGGTTCGGGATATAATCAGTCTAATAAGTGGTATATATGTGTCAGGTTTGAATAAGTTTGTGCATAATGACAAAAATCCTTTCACGCCACTACAAGATATAAAAAGTTTGGTGATACATTAACTATTCGTTTGACCAAAGTCACCCACTGTGATCTTTTGATTGATTCTGATTCGGAATCAAAAGTTACAGATTGTAGATGATTAAGGAACTAATCACAATTCAAAAGATAATTTGATGTTATCAATGCACTGGTTTAAAAAGGATGCACATATCATATTGAAAATTTTCCATGTTTAGACAGTATCTATCTGCAGAGTAAACATATTATCTTAGCCCATTGTCATATATGTATAAATCGTCTAATCAATGGCGAAACGGTAATCCATTGATGTACTGAAGATAAAATGAAACTCAATCTAAACAGTTGATATGAATAGCATATGAATTACATCACTAATATTCAGTATTTGTGAGAGTAAATGCTTTTGATCAATTAAAATTAACGACTTGATTTTAGTTCTATCTCATGTGGACATTGTTCTCAAGTAAAATTTCTTGTACTCTCATTAAAACGTCACCATAGTATACGGAATGTGGGCATATATCGAAGGCAAACGACAATGTTATTATTTTTCACATTTATTATATTTATTTTAGTTTCTTTTCCTGTTTCATTTAGCTATCAGTTTCAGAGATCTTTACTGATTGTAGCAGTCGAACCACCATGTACAATAAATCTCACGAGTACATGTGAATTTAGTTTAATATTATATCCCACATATAATGAAATTATCTTTTACAAGCAGAGGAAAGCTGATTGATCACAATCGTCATCTCAGTTCAATATTTCTATATGCTTATATAACGAATCTTAACCGTACAATTATCTTAATATATACTATTAACTCAATAGGTTATACTCAGAATAATTATATATAGATACAAAGTATATCATGTAATCTATATTTAATAAAATGATTATATTTTTCTTAGTACGTATCATAAATGTCTATGTACATAAAAAATTTAATAGCATCATTGCTACTTGAAATGATCCTTATTCTCCATACGATCTAATTGAGTTCATTGTTTTATGTAATCTGAATACTATTTTAATAAAAAAATTAGATAGAAATACAACGTATATTTTATTGTAAAAAACTGGTATTCCAGCAAACAGATATTATTTCAGTCCAAACACATCTAGTAATTTTTGATTACATACATGATAGAATAGTTGTTGTAGAAATTGATGGTAGTTTTTATGATAAGCTTCTTTGTATGAATAAAAATATTTTTCATTCTAGTTTGTTGACTACCTGAAATATCATTTGTGAAATTAAAAATCAAATTGAAAATAGTATCATCATTGAATAGAATTTTTATAGTATTGCATCAATATCAAATATTTATGAATATTGAAACCAATATATATTTATTTCAATTAATACTCAATTAAATGGATATCAATATCAATTATTAGGATATCAATTTTAATATAGAAATTAAAAGTAATCAAACAAAAAGTTGTTTCAATTTATTTTTTGCTTTCTAGTGTTTTATAAATGTTAATATCAATGTCAATTCGATTTTCTTAAGGCGAATGAACGTCTTCAGATGAAGTTTTCGATTCTGTTTATGTTTATTGATAACTCATTGTAGAATTTTTTTTCACATCTAAAAGCTATTTAAATATTAGAATATTCTAATTAATAGATAGATTATCATTTACACATGAATTTATCATTTGAATAAAATTTCTTTCTTTCTTATAACTGACATAAGCAGCGGAGCCACAAGACTTAGAAAAGCGAAAGCCTACCCTAGGTTAACATTTCGTAGACTAGGTTAAGTTCAAATACTTTTCTCCTACCATCAGCTTGATAGATTTGAGCAGCGCATTACATTTTCTATGCAAACGCTAATATTTTTCACTGTCTACGGCACCCAATAATAACATTTTTTCAATCGCGCAGACGTAGAAAACGTTTTTGAGGAGACATTAAGTTTTGCACAAGATCTGAACCAGATTAACTAGAATATGCCAAAATTTTGCTTTGTCAATCTCTTCTTTCGAATGTCGCATTTTGATGGACACAAATGCTCGCATGTTTTTTTTATGCAAGTTGCGAATTGTTTTCTGATCTCCACTATTGTTACATGTTGTAAAATGTAAGTTTGATAAAAGTAACATTGACTGTATTTCATCTAAGTAACATTCAAAAACTTGTCTTCTCTCGTTTTTAACTTTCAGATGAGGATCTTATTTAAAAAAAATATTGAGCCTACCCTAGAATTAAAACGCTTTACTGCTTATGATTAATGATACAGTTATAATAACTTCTATATGACTTTAATAACAACAGAAATAGAATTGTTCTAAAAATAATTAATTTTAAAAGAATTATTCATTGAATAAGATGGTGAAAAGCAGTATATCGATTTATTACTGGTACATGTGTTATGATTCTTTCTAATTTTTTCTGCTCAAATAATAACTCACAATGTCACTGGATGAATAATATATTTGTAGAGGGGGCTTGAATAGGTTTGTACGTTAATTCAACCATAAATATTTTTTAAGTATATCGAACAGAAGTGAAAAGCAAAAGAAAGTAAATATGTCTGCCATAGATCGAAGTGTTGTTTTAGTCCATTTTCAGTTGCATTTTTTTTTCTAATCATTGTGTAGTTATGTTATAAGATCTTCGAGGTGAATAATATACTTGAAAAGAAAATGTTGATATTGATATTAAAATTATAAAGAGTAAAAAAAAAAATATATAATCGTGTTAAAGCAAACAATCGATGAAACGGAATAGAAGTACAATTCAGATGAATGTAAAAAATAGTATCGAGCTTATTCATAATTTGTTAAATAGAATCGTGAAAACAGAACTATATATAAACGAGAGTATACACGACAATTACATGATTCTTCATAAATAGTTTACAAAAATGCAAGGTTATATTCTGGTAGTTTTCTTTTTCTTCGTGGCATTAACTGAAGGATTATTTATTAATCGTAAGATATCTTTTTTTTTTGTTTATTTATTCGTTTATCTTATTATTAATAATTCTTGCATCAGGAAATAAATGTCCAATAAAAAAATATACAGCAAACAAATATGTAATGGGCCATACATTATTAGGTCATGAAGATTTTGCTAAACATGTGAAAACAGTAGAAAAAACAGCAAAAGATTGTAATGTTCATGTCTACGTTAAAGATTCTTATTATCAAATGATAGATTCAGCTGCACCAGCCTCAACATCTGACGAAAATTTAGTTATTGGTCATGGTTTTCGATTTGAAATTCATGATACAAGTAATAAAGTTTTGTGTAATGCAGTATGCCTTTCAAAAAGTATGTAATTATTTAAAATTAAAATTTCTTTATGATTGTTTTCATTCATTTTTTTCTATATTAAGATCCAATGGGAACATTTCAAATTAAATGTTTCTTAGAAACCATTCAGAAACATGGTTTAGTATGGTCAATTTATGATTCAGATGTTATAAGTGATGGCACATATGAATCAGATAGGAGAGGATATCAAGCGCTTAAAGTTGATATACAAACAAAGTGTCAAAAAGAAAGCTTTAAACGACAACTACTACGAGCACTTCGTCGAATGAATGAAGAAGAGAGCGAAGAATTTGCAGGTGATAATCAAGAAACTGAAGCTATTAATCGAGAAGAATCTGAAAGTGATAGCCAAGATACTACAGATATTGTCAATGACGAGAAGAAAAAATAAACTATCAATAAATAAAGACTTAATGTTATTTTTGGATTTTTAATAGAGATTTTCTTTCTTTATGATTATTTAACCAATATTAAAGAACTTTAAGGTTTTTCTCTTTTTTTTTTTATCTAACTTCTATATAATTCATGTTTTTTTAGTCTTCTTCTTTGCCATTTATTAAAAATGAAAATACATCTAGAAATATCGTACTCATTGTCTCACTAATATTATATACATATATATAAACGACAATGTTCTCTGATGATGTGTGTTAACAAAAAAATACTACACTTGCCATTGATTTCTGCACATATGAAATAACATAACCCTTCTGTTGACAATTTGAATATATTAAGTGACTGAAAATAACAATAAGTCGTACATATTGAAACAAATAAAATATATATCATGAGACCAAGATATTAAATGAGTAAGCATTTGATAAAAACTTGCATTCATTATGTTAGAGGTGTGCTGGATAAGCTTTTTTTCGTACTTTGTAATCGGACTACGAAAAATTTTTGAATCTTTCTCCTACTCTGCAACATGCTTTCCTTGACTTGCTCGACTTTGCAGGATAGGAAAAGGTAACCGTGTACATCATTGCATTGTGCTATAACTGAATGCATGGAAAAATCTGTTATATCAATCCTATGAGATTAAAATGCGAAATACGATTTAGCAGATAGTACTTTACTGCAAGAATACAGTTTAATTGTATCTGTTTTAGAACAAATTTTCACATTATTCTTTCTTTTCATTTGGTCATTTAGGGGAGTGTAAGAAAGATATTATTCATATATGAAGAAATTTTGTGATTGTCATTCAAATAGTTGTTATGAATCGTTGTGATGAGCCATTACTATCTTTGTAATAATTAACTAAATGAATTTTGTCATTTAATGTAATATGATATGGTGATGCCATTGCTTTTTCTGTTATATACTATTGTAACAAAATAATGAACAGTAGTTTTAGTGCATTACTCAGAAATGACGAAGAAAAAAAAATGCACGTATGTTCTTTTAAAAGAGATTAAAATAGCAATCGAAACTGTAGAAAACAATGTTCAAGTTCAGAGTAGGGAAGTATTCATTAATAGACATTTCACTGTATTTCAAAACTATTGAAAATTAATATAAATGATAAATACATGCACCAAACTTTAAGATGATAAATTTCAAATTCTAAATTTCTATGAATTCTTATTTTCTCTATAATCAACATTTATATGAAAATACAAGCTTATCATTTCATCGTAGAAATAATCTTGAGACAAAATTCTTTGCATATTTATCATTGACAAATTGTTAGAATATCTTAGTCACTTGTTTTAATTTTATTAATCGAAAAAAAGAAAACATTCTTTTCCATGTCGAACCTTGCTTAGCAAAAAAAAAAAGAAAAGATCTTTTGATGATCACATACATCGGCAAATGGAAATACACACTGGTATACTTGTGCAAAAAAAGAGACAAACAAGAACACAAATATCAGATCTGTCGTATAAAAAAGAAAAAGAACATATTAATCATTATGAAATATAATATTCTTCATTCAATATGGAATAAATTAAGTAATGTTTGTCGTATAGTTGTTAATTCATCTAGATTTTGTTCCCAATCAGTTTCAGTTAATAAATTCATAATTTGTTCAGTTTTATCATCATTATCATTAAGAAATAAATCATCATTAAACATAATAAATGTATCATATAAATTTTGAGCTGCTTGTCGTCTTACCCATGGATAATTATGAAGAAAAAATTTTGTTATTAATTTTAATATTAAATTTCTTAATTCAATATTATTAAATTGTAATAATGAACAATATAATTTAATAAAATGTAAATATAATGTTGGATTATTATTTAAAATTTGTAATTTTTTTATTAATATATCTTCTAATAATTGAATTATATTTATCCAATGTTTTATAAATTCTTCGGAATATTTTTCATAAAAATTTTCAAATGTTGATTGTGATAAAAGACGTTCGCATGCTTGAATACATGGTATTATAATACGTATTTGTAAATTTTGTTTACTATTAAAAATTTTTTCTGAATCATTTAAAAGTGAATTAATTAAATTATAATTTGTTTTATGTATTATTAAATATGCATATAATGCTTGACTTGCATTTGATAATTCACCTGCTGTTATTAAACAATTTAACCATGTTACATAACGATATTTATCATAAATTAATAATTGTACAATTAAAGGAAAAACTATTTGAGAATTACGCCAATCAATATCATTTTGATTAAGAAAAATTTTTTCTATATCATTTTTATGTTCAATTGTTTGTTCAAATTGAATATTTAAAAATTCAATTAATGCTTTACCACTTATCATACGTAAATCATCAATTTTTGAACATACATTTATTAAAATTGAACAAAAACAATTATGAAGTATAGTTAAATTTAAAAAATATTTATTATTATTATTTTCATTAATTAATTTAAGTAAACGAACTAATTGTGTACAAGCTATTTCACGTACAAGACGACCTGAATCACCAAAACGATCATTTGTATAATCACGTGTACAACGAAGATATGAATTTATTAATTTATTTATTAAATCTTGATTAGAAAATGGTGATAATGAATCAAGATGAATATTTTCATAAAGATTACATAGAGCAATAAGTGTATCTTTACGTTGTTTTATTAAATGTTGAGTTTGATTTGTAATTTTTATTAGATTAAAGAAGCAATCAAGTATTTTATTTATTGTATTACTTGCTAGTAACATGTGAGATGGAAGTGATGCAATAGCTAGAGAAAAACCTTGTCGAATATGTTCTTGAGATGTTGTAGAAATTTTTCCAAGATAACGATCGATTAAATGAGATGAACTAAAAACAAAAAGAAATTTTATTGACTTTAATTCGATTTTGTTCAAATACTAAAAGTATTTATTCTTTTATAAGTTTTAATAAGAATTATCTAATGCTTTTGAATAAGTCTCTCGTTCCCCCGAAGAGACAGCTCAATCATTAATAAAAAAAACTGAGTGAAAACAATTGATGATCAATTCTTTTTCTGAGAGCTTGGCTTCTGAATGTATCATTTCATACTACTACTAGGCGTGTGACAATTCTAGTTATTTGAAGTTAAGTCTACAGTTTAGATTAATAGCTTCGGATAAAGCTATCACGAACCTCCATCAACCGAAAACAATGATATGTTCAGAAACACTAGCTTGTATGAAAAGAAGTGTTGAATTCATCACGTGTCCATAAAAGGAACTGAACAATTGAACCTAATTCAATTGTTTTGATATATCGATGAAATCTCTAGACAATATGTCGACATGATCTCCAATTATTTGACGTAAGAAATTCAACCTTTTTTTTCTCTTTGATTAGTAAGAATCGCCGCCGTTTCTCAACTACAGTATATTCGATCGAGTTGAAACTTTCTTCTATTTATAATAGAAAATATTTAGGATGCCTACTTCTTTTTTTTGTTTTAAAATATGATGTACCGCTGGCTTTCGCCATGGTTTACAAAGAAACCTTCGATTCAAAGAAACATGTATTTTTTGGGGTACCCCCGATATTTGAATCTTTCTATTCGAATGAAAAAAGATTAAAAGAAATCAAGAAAATTAGACGTCTCAAATAGTGTTAGGTATCTGTAAAAAAAGATCTTTCAACTCTACCAGATGTATTACAGCTGAGAAAGTCGAATGATTACGGAGGTAACTTCTAACCTTTATGATCTCAATATCTTCTAGAAGGAAACATTCAGGAGTTTTCAGTCTACGATAACTTTTGCTCTATTCATCGAGATGACATCTGCTCTGAAAATTTCAAAAATTTACTGATGAGTTGTTCTCCAAAGATGCTCAATGCGAAGATCCCTTATGCCTGTCCAATATAAATATACCTGCTATTTGAATAAAATGCATTTGAAAAAGCTTTAAGTGCATTTAAACCTGCTTGTCTAACATCATCATCTAAATTACTAATACATTCATCAATAATTGTTTGCCAACAATCAATTGTTTCATTTGGTAAACAAATTTCATTTTTATTATTCTGTTGAAAATAATCAATTGATTGTGATATATTTTCAATAAATGAACAAAGTGACGGTCGAATAAGATCACCTGAATAACCTTCAAGATATCCATATGATTTATATTCAATTAATAAATTTGATATTTTCTTTTGTAAATTGTCTCGTAATTCTGATAAACGTTGACATTCATTTGGATTCTATATTAATAAAAATTAGAAAGAAAAAAACAAAACAAAATTTCAAATAAATTTTTTCTTTTATCGTACTCTTTGATAACGTTGATAAAGTCCATAAACAATATGACCACAACTAGATAGAAGACCATGTCTTGCTATTCCATCATTTTTTTTATCTAAACATCGATCAAATAATGGTAATAAAATATTTTCATAAATATCTTCAATTGTTCCATAATTTAATGTTGTTTTTTCTAATAATTGACTTGTTAATAAACGTGTTTCTTTTTTCCAATGTATTATTTTATATTTTAATAAATGTTCAATCATATATTTTCCATATATATCATAATATTTAATTAATGAATGTGCTAAAATTAAAAAACAGTAATCAAATTTTCCAATAAGATTATAATCTGTTTGTTGTATAATATCTATTCCATGTGGAAAATATTCTCCTTGTCGACCAACATTTTCTTGTAAAGCAGCTGATGCTGCTCGACGACATTGAACATTCCAATCGAAACAAATTATACATAATAACATACCAGCTAAATCCGCTGTATATGAACGAAAATCAATTGAATCAAATGCACGTGCAAATGACCAACAAACCTTTAAAAATATTAGTACATACACAACATGTATATTTTTAATTATAACGAGTGATTCATAAACAATGAACCTCTTAGTATTTTGCATAATTCTCAGTAGCCTTTCAACATTACGAGATAATCTTTTTTTTTGTAATAGATTCCTTGTTCGATTCTCTAGAAACTTGCGTCTTCTACTTAACCGAAAAAGCATGTCATATTTGTTTAGATACAATGAAATGAATAGGTTCAGAATGCATCACTTTCAAAATTCCGAAACTTTTTGCATTTGAATTTGCGAGTGATCTTATCAATCTTTCTTGTAATCATACAATATTTCAATCAATTATTAGCCTGAAACTGACCCTAGTGAAGTTCTTAGAAAGATCACAAACTTAACTATTATAGTTAATCAATAAGATAAATATTGGCATAACTTCTTTGAAGCTTTGTATATATGTTCATCTTCAAGCATTCTTTCGCATTAAATTATTCATCAAAAGCAATATTAATCATCTTCCGTATCTAGAAGAAGTACCTCTATAGGTTATTTGTCAAAAAAGCAACGTTCTTTTCTATCAGATCAAAAGCGCACGAATGCCAAAGATGATCATATATTCAAAGTTTCAAAGGAATAATAGCAATTTCTATCTTAGTGATTAATAATAATGGTCAAATGAGTAAATAATTAAGTCTTGTATGATTAAGAGAAACACCAATAAAATCGCTCATAAAGTTCAATGCAAAAAGTTTGATAAAAAAAACAAAATAGAATTGTGAAAGTGATGTATTCTGAATTGCTTCATTTCATTGAATCTAAACAAATAAGGCATGCTGTACCATCTAAGTGAAAGATACAAATTAGTAGAGAATCGAACGAGGAATCTATCGAAAAAAGAAGTTGTTCCACTATGATGAAAGGCTGCTGAGAAATATGCAAAATATGGAGAGGTCCATTCTCTTTATGAACGATTCGTTAATTCTTTCGAAAACCACTTACATAACAAGCTGCATCGCGTACAATATGTCCATATGTTTGATGACCAAGTTTTTCATCATAATTAAGTGATTTATGTACAATAGGCATAACGGAATCAAGACATTCAGGTAAAAGAAGTCCACGACGTGCAAGTTCAGCTAATGCTAAACATCCACCTTGTAAAGCATAATGATCACAGGCAAGAAGAGCAACAGTTGATATACGATCACATAAAAGAGATACTAATTGAGCAGCATATGATTTACGTAAACGATTTGTTATACGACCTAAACCTTTAGCTGATGACCATCGAACATATAATTCTTTATCACTTAAACCTGCCATAAGTAAATCAATTATAGGTTCGACTGTTGATGGAACATTGCTATTATCTTCTTCAATTTCTTTTTCACCATTTTCATTTTGTTCACGACTATGTCCATTTATTGTTAATGATGATTTACTAGAAATATGAATAAAAATTGACTTATGAGAATATATCTTGAAATATTTCTTGATTGTATACTGATAAATTAAATCAAAATGAATATCAATGGAAAATCTTGTTCAAGAAAAAGCCTATAGACTATTAGAATATTCTGACACTTAAATTCAATATTATAAGAAGAATATATTCATTTTATTTGAAACTTTCAGAATATTCAAATGATCCTTAAACTTCTTTATGGACAATATCTCACAAGAGAATCTTTCCAAGTGTCAAATCGCTTTTCGACCGAGACTATGTTTGTTTGACGAATACTAGTGGGCAATAGAAAAGTCTAGAATGATTTGGTTTTTTTGAGCCTTCATTCTTAGAGTATCGAAATTTTACTGAATTTTTTGTTAAACACAATTATAAATCAACATACATTGTCGTAGTTGTTGTAGTTGTTGACGTATTCTTTTTTAATGTTAATGAATCAAGAAGATTTCTAACACCACGACGATATCTCCATGCTGCACCATGTTTAGGCATAGGTAATAATGTCATAGCAAGTTTTTGTAATAATTTATATGCCATACGTCGTATAACAATACGTTTAGCATATAATATTTGTTTATTAATTAATAAATGATATAATGAATCAACATATGTTATTAAATTTAAACGTTGTCCAAATTTAAATATATATGATATTGTTTGTAAACATGCTGTTATACGTAAAATAATATTTTCATCATTCTGTTTTTCATCATATGTTTCAAGTATAGGTAAAATTTCACCGGTTAAAAAATCATTTAAACATAATAGACGGATTGAATCTTGACGAGACATAAAATGACCAAGATTAAATGCAACCATACGCATATAAATTGAATTATAAAGAAAATGTTTATATATATTTAATATTTGTGACATTGTTGTTTGTTTAGGAGATTTTATATCAAATCGACATAAATCAAGTGGTACCATACATGTTGTACCAAGCCAAACAAGTAATGAATAAAGTGTTGCCCAACTATTTTCTGATGAAGAATTTTCTTTTAATTCACGTTCAATTAAATTAATTACAACAATTAAATGATGAGGTTCATGAGGTAAAAAACGTGTTGTCATCACTTTAAAACCACGAACTTTTATAATATGATGAAGAAGTGCACCAGCTATATGATTTTTATTTGGACCATGTTCAATATAATGGAGTAATTTATGAATCATATCGGGTAAATATGAATCAAGTAATTGTGGTTGTTCTTGATATTGATTAAGAATATATTGAAATTGATCATAGATACGTTCAACATCAGTTTTTTCATTTATATCATTTGTTATTGTTGTTTGATTATCAATAGTTCCTATTTGTTCAATTAATTGTTTAATTTGTTCATGTTGTTCAAATTCATTTAATGAAAAATAAACAGGATCATGATCATAAACATCGGCAGTATCGGTAGTCATTATAAATGTGGAATTTTTTTCTTCTAAATAATCAAATGAATTTATTCAGTCATTTCTAAAGTATTTCGAATATAAATTATTTTTCTTAGACATTAATGAATAGTTTATATAGGTTAATAGATGTGTGTATATGTATATATTCTTTTTTGATGACAAGACAACAACAAAGAAACGTAAAATATCAATATTTTCTATTACAAATAGTTCATATTGTCTTCAGCGAAAATTGAACGCCAAAAAAAAGAAGAGAGCAATAATCATACGTTTACAAATTGTAATAGAAAGAATATTGAGATGGAAAAAATATTTAAACATGCAAAGAAAAAAAGAAAAAGAAACAGAAACAGAAAAAAAAAGAAAATCATTTCACAACGCCCATTACAATACATAGATGTCATTCATTTGTTCTTTTTTTTAAAGTTTTTCATTCAAATATTTTTAAATGCAATAAACCTGATAAACAGTATCAGATTAAAGAGATATAGCAAAAGATTAAGTTGCACTAGATAAATGTGATTGCTCAAAGCATTTCGGTGGAAGAGAAGAGAAGAAAAAAAGAAAAAAAAGAATCAACCAGAAAAAGTGATTATAGATTTTTGAATGAATATTGCACTAATAGATGTAAAAATTCGTTGCTAGTGATATCAACTAAATATTTTCTTTTATGATTCTGTTTCATGAAATGGTCGTTTTGGATTTAATTTTGATTTACGCATATTCAGTAAGTCACCTACTTCTTCAGCATGTTTAAGTACCTATAATAATAAGAACAAAAAAAACAATTAGGCAAAAAAAAAAAACATCAATTTCAATATACTTCATCAAGCATTTCTTTTGTATGAGATGCCGAAAGACAAAAACGAACACGACCAAGTACTAATGGTGTAGCTGGGAAACCAACAGTAACAACAGCTACACCACGTTTTAACATTTCACGATTAAATGCTCTAAAACAAACAAACAAACAAATGAATTTTATTTAAAAAAAAAAAAAAAAATCTTTCATACGTACGCAATTTTCGATGGACTATATAATAAAGCTGGTACAACAGGTGAATGTGGATGACCATAAACAATAAAACCCATTTTTCTAAGACGTTGTCGAAAATAACGTGTATTCCATGCTAATTGTGTAATTCGTTGACGACCTAGATTTATATTATAAATAGATTCAAATTAATAAACAAATGATTGAAAAATTTTTCGACAAGAGCATGCTAACTCATAGCTTTTGATACTTTCTATCGGATCAAAAGTGAACAAACATCTTGTCGAAAAAAAACTTTCCGATCATCTATTATTCATCAAATAAAAACCTTCATGTTCTTCATTTGTATCAAGTAATAAGTTTAATACTGAAATAATTTGTTCAACAACAGGTGGACTCATTGATGTTGCATAAGCTGTAGCATGTGATGTTACACGAATATGATCAATTAATTCCTTATTAATATTAATAATAAATTAATTTTTATAAAAAGCTTTTTTTTGTTTTCTTTCTACCTTTTTTCCAGCAATATAACCACCAGCTGCAGCAAAACTTTTTGTAAATGTACCCATAAGTATATCAACATCATTAACATCACATTTCCAATAATCAACAACACCACGACCACGTGAACCCATAGCACCAATTGAATGTGCTTCATCCAAATAAAGAAATGCTTTATATTTTTTTTTAAGTTCAATTAATTCGGGTAATTTACATAATGAACCTTCCATACTAACAAAAAAAAGGAAATTTTTTTTTCAATAATAGTAAACAATAATTTAGTCATTATTAAACAAACCTATATACTCCTTCAACAATAATTAAAATTTTTCTCCATGGTCGATGAGTTCGTGGTTGTCCAGATACAATTGATTCACGTAATAATCTTTCCAAATGATTCATATCTAAATTTATAAACTTAAAATACATTTAAAAACAAAATAATTCAAACCATTATGCTTATAAACTTTGATAACAGCACTCGATAGACGAGAACCAAGAACAAGTGATGTATGATTAAGTTCATCACTTAATATGAGACAACCCTTAAAGAAAAACATGTGTAAATTTTTTTTTGTTTATTATAAATTTTTCTTCATATTTAGTTTTAGATAGAAATAAAAAAAACATCATTTATGTTTGTTATAAAGCAAAATGAAAGAAAGCAAATTAATTATACCTTTCCAACCAATGATGGTATATTGAGTGCATTCGTTGCAAAGCCCATACCGAATGTGATGGCATCTTCAGTGCCAAGAAATTCAGCAAGTAAAGATTCAAGCTTTCGGTGTTGCGTTAGTGTGCCTGAGACAAGTTAGTGGAACAATGTGTGAGACAAATACAAAGAAAACATCAATTGTTGAAAGAAGTTTGTATGGTTAGTTACATACAACATAGTTAATCTTTTAAGTTAGGGAACATATACTTACCGAATTCTTGTGTTGTACTTGCTACTGCAATACCACCAGTTTTTATTGAATTTATAACGTTATCTGCTGTTTGTCCGCTATTATCAGCAAAACCAAGATAATTATATGAACCAAGATTAATTGATTTGATTTTGTTACCAGTAAAACTAAAATAATAATGTTTATTTTGTTGTTAGACCAAAAAAAAGAAACTTTTAATTACTTAAATGACCAATTGTAATCCTCAGTAATACGTTCAACAAGATCAAGTGTACCACCTGGTACACTGCCAATTGGTCGATTGAAACAATCGGCAATACGTTGGTAAACGTTACGAGTGTAAAAACTTTCATAACTTTGATAAAGTGGAACAAAACCCTAAATAAAAATAATGAAATAACTATACTAAATCAATAAAAGAAAAACAAAACTAATCTTTAGATATTATTCCTATTATAATTCTTAACTAAATAATAAGACAATTATTATAACTGAATATTTTTTATTATTAACAATAGAAACATTCTTAGCGTAAGTTGAAAAGATTGATCATATTCAAATCAAAACTGGGTACAGGACAGAACACAAAAGTATTGTCCTGTGTCCATCTCTGTGTTGTATATTTTCCTTTTCTTTGTATCATTTTTGTTATTAAGTACTTTTTCATTGTTCTATTTTTTTTTATTCGTAGTATCCACTATATGCTAAGATAGTAATGATAAAACTCCATAAGTTCATTTTTTTTTCTGTGATAAACGCATCAGTAAAATAATAAATTCAAGATGTTTCTATATTTTTTTTGTATTTACAATAGTAGTCATTATTGAAAACTTTAGTTATTGTATTTGAAGATGATACGACATAAATGAGCTATAAGATAACTAATAAACTAATATGTATTTTGGCAATCGAAAGTCAAAATAAGAATTTTGACTGTCCTGTACTAAGCTCTGATTCGAATTAAATTATTATTCTCATTAGTGTCAAACTAATAAATTCCATATATGACTTGTTCATGACAAACTTACAAAGGAAATCTCCTAATTGATTAATTACTTTTGAGTCGGGACTATTTGCATCATGTAGATCCCAATGAACTGTGAATACTCTAAAAAAAAGTTCAAGTTCCTAGCTTACTGCTGCCGAGATACTACATTTTTACAGTATTTTTTAATGAATACCGGAACTCTCCTCAGGAACACTAGGAAAACTGATTTTCGATTGGAGATGTTGTACAGAGATAGGTCTTAACGAGAATAGTTTATTGTGAAAGTTCCAGGTCTTTTGATTTACTTCTATCCTGAAATAAGAACATCGGCAGAATCGATGTTCTTATTTCAGGATAAAAGTAAATCAAAAGACCTGAAACTTACACAATAAACTATTCTCGTTAAGACCTATCTCTGTACAACGTCTCCAATCGAAAAACAATTCTTCTGATGTTCCTGAATGGAACGAAGAAATTCATTTAAAAAATATTGTAGATATGCAGTATCTTCGCACTGTAATAAGCCAAAGGTCTGAATTTTTTTCAGGATATTCAAAATTCATTTGAGTCTACATGATGCACATAATCAGGACTCAAAAGCAATTAATCAGTTAGGAAACTTCTCTCATTAGATTGAGATATTCAATTTTGGTTTAGGAACAAAATAATATCAGATCTAATCTCATTCATTTTTGTTTTATATACCATCATCCGATTATTTAGGAAATAAATATCCAAAATTTTTCTAGAATTGATTGACTACATGAAAATTCTAACTAAAATCAATTTTAGAAAGTCTAATGATATCGAACTGAAAAAAAGATCAACATCGTAATTGAAAAATGACTAATACATGATTTCCCTAAAGGTTACGTGCATTATTCTGTCACTTTGTAATATATTGATTGTATTTTGTTTGCACTCGGTGGGAAAAAAATATACTATTGTTATTACCATTGGCTTACACATCTTTACCATTTAAATAGAATAAAAAATGTTAATAATTTACAGATCTTGACAAATGATAGCCGATTTTTTTTTTCTTACTTTCGCACTACTATAAATTATTAGAAGAAATCAAATCTATTTATCATCTTAATTTAGTTAATAAATTCTAGCAGTATTCTGGACATTCATTTTCTTAAATAATTAGATAATTGTCTACAAAAAAGAGTCGATATCTCGATCTACGTTTATCGTAGACACATCATATATTAAATTTTTTAGTTTAGCGATAGTGAGAATAATAATTTGATTCGAATATTTAACTTTCAGTATTAAAAGTTTCTACTATAAAGAATAAAAAATAATTATTTACCGATGGATTATTTTCTGCTGAACCTTTGCGATTTTCAATTCGAGCATTTCGAAGAAGATCACGAAACCATCCAAATATATTTAAAAGAACATAATTTAAATATGTCCAAAATGCTTCTGAAAATGGTGTATCTTCATAAACTTCATCTAATGATGGATGTTCAGCTACGGGTGTTGTATAACCAATGTTTGAAAGTGATTTCTCTGTTTTATGAGGATTACTCTTTGCCATATTGTTAATTTTGATTATACTGCTCTTAAAAGAAAAAAAAACAAAAGAGTATCACAAAAGATCTTAATAAAATAAGAAACATCTATTTCGTTTTTAGATATAATATAAAAGATAAAGATAAATTGAAAAATAAAATATAGATATACTTCTTTTATTATCTTAGCACTTCTACAATCTACCATTCTCTCACAACCTTCACCCTGTCTTTATCAAATTATATGTAAAATTAGTACGGAACTCATACTACTCTATTTCTTTTTCTTTTTTTGCTTCTTCTATTTAGATAACTAAAGATGAATATCTAATATGTAGAGAACACAATAAAATATTCTTTTTTTTTGTTATTCGGCATAAATCTAAATTATAAATTGTATTGATTGCATTAAGAATTTCAAATACTAAAATGAACAATATGATTATTAATCAATATTTATTTATTTATTGACAAATCATGATTTAACCACAATAAAAAATACTAGTACTATTGATGACTCAGAAAAAAACAGAAAGAATCATTATCATGTACGTTGTTGCCTTCACGACAAATGTTTTAACAACGATACAAGTACTGAAAAACCAATCAGATTTTTTCAAAATATAGTTGATGTTGTGTGTCGACATCTGATATTTTATAGAAGTAAAAACATTTATCCTATGCAAAAAACAGATATTATGTTGATTTTTTTTAAGAAGGTTATTTGTCTTGTGTTCTAGATAGATTAAAATGGCGATTTCGTACTTGTTTTTATATTGATTCCATACTGATCTAATTAAACTGTATTTTTGTTACAAGAAATGTGAGAACATTTTTAATTAATAGAACTGAAAAACTAAATTATCTTTTTATTTTTGAAATAATAAATAAGATTAATAAAGTAGAGTTTCGTTTGAATGAAATGTAATTTGATAATAAAATATTTAATATTCGAAATGTATTTGCTAATGTTACTAGAATTTTATTATAAATTAAGTTGCCGGAAATGCAAAATTAAGACAGAAATTTTTTTTCTTTATATGGTTAGATTAGAGTGTGACGAACTATTCAAGAATATGTGAGTTTTCAATTTTGGGAAATGATTTTTTAGGAGAAAATTTTCAGTTTTTATACATGATCTGATTTTCTTGAAAAACAGGTTTATTTTCGAGCTTTTCAATTCGTTTAAATTTCAAAACTGTTTGTTTCAGGTTTAACATGAGAAACTGAATTTTTAAAATTTATTTATAAATAAGTTTCTTATATTTATTTTTTCACGTTAAATTTGAAACAAACAGTTTTAAAATTTAAAGAAAATGAAAAAACTTGAAAATTTGTTGACTATCAAAAATAGATCTGTTTTTCAGAAAAAACAGGTTACCTGAAAAAAAAACTGAACGTTTTCTTCTAAAAAATCATTCGAAAAAATTGAAAATGTACATATCCTTGATTAGTTCGTTATGCTCTATCGAACTGTACATATGATGAAAAGATAAACTTTTGTTTTTATTTTACACTTCGAGCACCTTACAAAACATAATGTAATGAGACCTCGATAAATAACTTAGTATTATATTAAAAATCCCTCGTGATTTCTTTTATCGTAGAGCAATTGTCTAACTGAGAAAAAGCAATATATAACGATTGTTACGTTCGAGAAAAATTTTATAAATCATTACCATCGATATTCATTAGTTCTTTGTAATATACATAACGAAAATTATTTTTCGTTTTCTATATTTATGCAATACATAAATGCATATAATATTCCTATTGCATATGTATAACTATTGTAAACAATAATAAAGTTGATAATTCATCCAAAAATTCTATAAATATTAATAGTCTAAAAAGTCGATAATATATGATCGATTCGAAATCTGAACTGCCTAATACATAAGAACTTAACGAAGAAAAGTCTCCAATATTCAAACACCGATCAAGCTCGCAGTTTGTTCATATATAGTACTCAGTGAGAGTAGTGAGATTCGAAAATGGATTCGCAACTATGTCTTGCTCTTTTGCAGTTACAACAGTTTTACTGAGTTTTCGATTTCATACGAATCAGCTGACCAAAGATCGGTAAGACACAAGTTTCATCTAAAAATTTGCCTATGAATAGATCTCAATGTTATTAGATTACTCTAAAAGCTCCGCGAAGAAATCATGCTTTTCAAAGGAAATTTTCAGAGTAATCTAATTTTAGTGAGATCTACTTATAGGAAAAGTCTCAAATCAAACTTGTGTCTGACGATTTTTGATCAATTAGCTTGCGTTAGGTCAGATATTCAATAAAACAATTATACTTCGACAGGATAAAATGCATATGCGAATCTTCTTTTGGCTTTCATCAGTCTTACTGTGTTCTGTGTATGTGCAAATGATGATATTAATCGAAGTTTGACAGTTCAAGGTTTGTTCCTGTAAGGTTAAATTGATATTTATTACTGATAACTCTGTTTCTTCATCATTAAGAATGACAATTTTGTATTTTATTTTATTTTAATTAAGAAAATTATTATGTGATGTGAGAAAACAATCCATTTTTTTTCTTTACTTATCTCAATCCTTCTTTCGAGACAACAAAATTAAAAATATGAATTTATTTTCATGTAGAAAAATAAAACGGATATTTATACGAGACGAATTTAACTAAATAAAACAAAATATATCATTTGGAATACAATAAACAAAATAATATATTATGATTCATTGAGATACTTTCATATGATTCATTGAGAGTCATAATAAATTCATTGTACAATCCGCTCACATTTAATCTTTTCTTTTATTAACATGAATAAGGGTTTTATATTTTTTCCAATCATATCTATGAAAAAGATTTGTCGGTATTACTCATTTGTATTTTGATCAAGAAAGGACTTATTTTATTAATGATGCATAACTATATGTATAAATCTAAATAAAATGATTCATCTTACTTTAAAGTGCATGTATCGACGGATTAAATACACAGGTGATTGATGACGTTTGTAAAATACTTATTATTTGGAGGCACAAAAATATGCAAGTTGCTTTGGGAAAATTTTTGTCAAGAAACAGAACACAGTTTGTTTAATCAACCGTAAAATCACAAAAATAAGACGTTTATATTTTTTTTTGTTTATTCATGTTTTTTGTTATATCGCAAGTAGATTCATAGAAATGTGAGTATGAAAATATTTTTCATATCATATATTTTTATATAAATTTATGAATAAAATCGATATCATATGTATTTTTTTGTTATCATAATTGAAGTCAAGTAGAAAATATAATACACAACAGTATTTATTAATTTATTTGTTGATCTCATTTCAACTGAATAATTTTAGTTTTTTTTTCATTTGTAATATATGAATAGTTTACAAATGTTAAGTGTAATAAGAATATGTTTTTTCTGTCTTAGACAAGTATTTATCAAACAATATAATCTTCAGTTAAGTCAAAAAAAAATTTTATTATTAAAATCTTCGATTATTCCGATTTAATTAAGATTATAGTGCTTCTTATTAAGATTAATCTTACGTAATAGGCTATAGTTTATAAATATCGTTCCCTATGTTCAAGAAGTGCGTCAAAATACAAATCTAAAAATAAATACTTATGTTAATGCGTTTTAGATTACAAAATAAATTAGTAAGATTTCTTTCTTTGATGGATTGAATTTCATAAAAAAAAAACTCTTCAATCTATCATAGATCATTTATACGGCTATAATTTTCGATTATTATTTCATGAAAAAAAAAGAAATTCTCATCAACTTGATTCTTATTTTATAAATATCAGTTATGACACGGCAGATATTAAGAAGAATTTCTTTAACGAATCCATGTATATAGATAAGATCTGATTGAAATTTGACGAATTAAATTCGAATACATAGATATATGTACTCGATGAAATTATTCGAATGTTGCTGAAAACGAAAATATCTTCTAAATTGAAGAATATCCATATTGAACAAAAGATAAAAGTTATGCATGACATTAAGCGAATCGTAATGAATATGTTAATATAATATTATAGTCGTTAAATGACTCCATTAACGATTGAGTCTCTTTTTTTTCAAGCAATTTTTGTAGTTATCATATTTCATCTTCAGTAGTACCTCAACGATATATGACTAAAAAAAATGAATGGCACTAATCAAAAATGATTAAAATACTCTTATAGAAAGTCATCTTTCATTCGATTTACATGTAACTAAAGATGTCAGTTTGTTCTATTTTTAGCAAAATTTTCTTTTTTTTTACGTAGTGATATGTTAAGTATTATGTATTTTGTATGAAAAAAAAAAGTAAAAAAGTTCAAGTATGTAATCATAGACTTCATTACTGGATAAATACCAATTCGATTTAATCAAAATTAAACTCGTATCATGGATTTTAAAATCATCATATCGTAAGTCATTTGTCACATCTGTTACATTTTTAATAATGATCTATGTCCGAATTTCTTTATATTTGATTTTACGCGATGATATTATTAAAGATTATGAAAAGTTGGTATTTATAATATTTTAATTTTTCTAAGACTTATCTTTAGGTTCATTATTTTGTTCTATTTAACGAACTGAAATGACATCTGACAATGGAACATTTATTCTTGGCATCAGAAAAAAAAGAAAGTGAATATCATGATCCGATATTCATATATAGTAAGAAAAAAAGGAATTGTTCAAAGATAAGAAACGTCTTGCAATGATTCTTTTAATCGTAATTGTCAAAATAGAAGTAATTTTTATCATTCCTTTTATTTCTCGTAAAAATGAAGTGATATTAACGTCGAAGAGTATTGTGTTCTTGAGTCTTTTTACATCTATAAATGTTCTATTCACTGCTTTGTTTTATTAGCAAACATAGGAATCTAAAAAAAGAAAATAAAACTTTTTTCATCAATTAAATTGACATAAAATACATATTTTTATTTATTTTTTTATATTAAAATAAATCAGTCATTGAGATATATTTATAGAAAAAAAAAGTGTTTTCGAACGTTAATCAATCATCTGTTTTTCTTATTTTTATGATTTATTCTTATTAAGAATGAGTGTAATATATATTATATGAAAATATAGATGTTTTGAAATAGTTGAGTAAGTAGATGGATCATAAAATTATAAATGTTTTTTCATTTTTTTTTCTTTCTTTTCTTCATCGCTCTATTCTTCTTCTTCTTCTTTCTATTTCTCTTCTTCCCTTTTTTTCTTGCCTATATAGGCAATCTTTTCTTTTTGCATACATTGGCAACCGATGGTGTATACGCGTATATAGAGTACGTTTGCTTAAATGAAACACATCCAATGCGTCACCTAAAATAAGTTCACGATGAGTATTCGCGGTCACGTTTCGATACACTCACGATTCTTTCTTATTGTTTTATACATTTCTGTTCGTAACAAATAAAAATATAGTTGAAGATAACGAATGAAAAACTTACACCGTAAGTTCTTCACGTAAAGTATTATAGTTTTCAAGTAATTCAGTTGATCCTCTATAGAATCAATAATAATATGTCTGTGAATATGGTTTAATCAGAGAAGATAGAAAGAATATTGTGAGAGTACGTGTAAAAATAAATATATTATAGTTATTTGGGACAATAGATGGGCTGATGCCCATAAAATGGGAAAAGAAAGCGAAGAAAATGGTTGCTACCATATTGTGAGTTGAGGACATTAATTCTATTACTACTCTAGACGTGTTCGTTGCTGTTCTTCAAGCATCCAAAGGAGATTTTTTTTTCTTCGTCTTCGCGTTCTGTTTCTGGCTTGTAAAGGGTGTGTGTGGGTGTGTAGTGTAGCAGTCATTATGTAAATAGTTACTCTGTAATATTGTTGTTCGTTATATAGCAGATGTTGATAAAATAAGTTAGTCCATGAAAAATTGTGTTAAAACAACAATAAAAAAAAATTATTTACTTTTTTCTTTTGTTGTATCTTTATCAGTTGCATTTATCTTATTCTATTTATCAAAACTATTTAAGTATCATAAAGTTACGTTGATTTTTAGATGTCAGCAAAAACTAGTATGAATCAAAGTTTAGATAAAAACATGAACAAATCATCATCATCATCATCATCATCAAATTCAAAGTCAAAAGTAAAATAACTTTTTTGTTTTTTATTTTTTTTTTTGAAAAAATATTTTTTTTTTCGTTTTTTATTTAAAGTTCATATCTGAAAATGTATTCAAATTTCAAAATCATGAAGAATTTGAAGAAACACCAACATGGGCTGCTGTTGTTACGGTTCTTGGTTATGCAATTCTTAGTGCACTCGGTTGGTTACGAGATTTTCTACGTCATATTGGTTTTGAAGAAAAAAAAACTGCTTATGATCCCAATCCAAAAGTATGTTCAGTTTTGTTTCCGACAAACAATAAGATGAAAAAAAAATATAATAATAATAAGTTATCTTATGACTTTTTAAAAATACATAGGATTTTGTACCACTTTATCAGAGTTACGAATGTTTTTATACACGTAATTTATATACACGTATACGTGATGTATTCAATCAACCAATAGCTAGTGTTGCTGGAGCCGAAGTTCATGTTATGGAACGTCTTTCAGATGATTATAATTGGACGTTTAAGTAAGAAAATTTTTTTTTAATTTTCAAAAAAAAAGTCTTGTTTTTTTTATTTTTAATAGATTTAGTGGTAAAAAAATTCCATCAATTAATTTAGGTTCATACAATTATTTGGGTTTTGCTGAAAACCAAGGTCCATGTTCCGAAGAAGCAATTAAATCTATAGAAAAATATGGACTCACAACATGTAGTACACGTCATGAATTGGGTACTCAGCAATACATGAAAGAACTTGAATCTTTAATGGCTGAATATTTAAATGTGGAAGATTGTATTGCTTTTGGTATGGGTTTTGCAACAAATGCATTAAACATTCCGACATTAGCTGGAAAAGTAAATTAATTTTTATTTAATTTTATTAGTTAAAAAAAAATATCAATGTTTTTCTTTTTTCTTTTATTCATAGGGTGATTTAATACTTAGTGATAAACTTAATCATGTTTCCCTTATACTTGGTGCTCGTTTATCTGGAGCAACAATACGTACATTTGATCATAATGGTAAATATTTTAATAGAAAAGAATTATCGTTCTCATATGATAAAAAATTCTTTCTTTTTTTTTGTTTCCTTGAACTATGAAATGAATATTACCTTGGCGGTACGAGCAGCAATTCAATGTGAAAGTCCTTGTGTTTGCTTTTTTTTTTATTAATGAAAAGAAATTTGGTATAGTATAAATAGAAATTTAACAAATATGTCATAGTTAATGGAGGGATAAGATCTATTTGATAGAGAACTAGTCCCGCTCGAGTAGAAGGACATTCACAATGATGAAAAACTCAAGTAGAAAGATTGTTTTTCTTTTAATGTTCTATTAGAAGAAAAAAAATATATTGTTTCTTTTCTTATAATGTTCAGTGTTTTAAGTCAAGTATCTGTTCGAAAGAGAACATGTCAACTTTTTGAATTCAACGACATGAATAGGAAAGTGACTCTTCTATAGATTATATTATTATAATGATTAACACTGAATATATTGTTTTATCTTTATATTTCCAGTGTAAATTATTTAGTTAAAGTTACTGACGATTGAATTAATTGAAAGTATAATTTTTTAATCTTAATTCATAGATGTGAAAGATTTGGAACTGCAATTACATGATGCTATTATTCACGGTCAACCTCGAACATGTCGACCCTGGAAAAAAATTCTAATTATTGTTGAAGGTGTATACAGGTATTATTTTGTTGAATTTTTAATGATGTTATTGTTATTATTACTTTTAGTATGGAAGGTTCATTATGTAGATTACCAGAAATAATCGCAATAAAGAAAAAATATAAAGCTTATTTATATGTTGATGAAGCACATTCAATTGGTGCCATTGGTCCACGTGGTCGTGGTGTTGTTGATTATTGGAAAGTTGATCCTAATGATATTGATATACATATGGGTACATTTACGAAAAGTTTTGGATCAGCTGGTGGTTATATTGCTGGAAAAAAGGTAGAATTATTATATTTTCTATTTGTGTTTTTGTTTTTATTTGACAATTATTTTTTTTTTCTTTTATATTTTAAATAGACATTGATTGATCACATACGTATTTATTCTCATTCTGCATGTTATTCATCGAGTATGTCAGCTCCTGTTGTTCTTCAAATAATATCTGCATTGAATATAATAATGGGTCGTGATGGTACTAATAATGGTAAGATATTTGATTTTGTAATGAAATATGATTAAATAAAAAAGATTTCAGGTCAAAAACGTATTCAACAATTAGCTTGTAATGTTCGTTATTTTCGTCGACAACTTTTTGATATGGGTTTCATTGTTTATGGTAATGATAATTCACCTGTTGTACCTGTTATGATTTATATGCCAGCTAAAATAGCGTAAGAAAAATTGTTTAATTAAGATTTTTAATCTTTTTATTATTTTAATATTTATTTCTTTTTCAAGAGCGGTTAATCGAGAAATGTTAAAACGTGGTTGTGCTGTTGTTACTGTCGGTTTTCCAGCAACTCATTTAACTGAATCACGTGTACGTTTTTGTCTTTCAGCTGGTCATACAAAAGAAATGCTGGATCATGTAATTAGAAAAGAAATTTTCTTTGTTTTGTTTTTATTATTTATTATATTCTATTTTCATTAATTAGGCATTAAGAGCAATGGATGAAGTGGGTCATCTTGTTTCACTTCGATATTCAAAACAAAATCCACATCTTCGTTGGCATGACCTTAATCGAGCTGATTATGACAAAGAATATTTATCGTTAAACTAAAGTTTTCCTTTTATCTTTTGTTCATTAAGCTGATTGTTCATGACTTTGTCTCGAGAAGATAAATGATATCAGCAAGCAAATTGCTTTTTTTAATGATTCATTTGATTCAACTTTTTTTTTCTGTGGTTATTCATATCTGTTATATTCGATTTTGATCAATAATCTTCGCAATGGTTTTTTTTAAATATCTACCACTAACTCAAATTATACTTGTCTATTTCGCTTTTTTTTTTTTGTTTCGATTCCATATTGACAATATAGGTATACCTGTGATAATTGTATAATATATTGTCTATTGATACTGACTGCTATTTAAATAAATTTCTCATAAAGAAAATATTTTGGTTTTTTTTTGTCTTGGTTTATCTTGTGTGTATATACTGAACAAGAAAGAAGAAAAGAAAAATTTATATAAGTTTGTTTCGTTTGTTCATAATTATAAGAATTATTTTGACTATTGATTGTTAACTTCAATTTAATGTAATTCAACTTGACAACTAGCATCATTTGTTGTTTGATTTTGTTCATAATAATCTGTATCATCTTCATCATGATCATGATATTTTTTTGAAATAAAAATTTGATTTCCTGATAATATTGCTCTTGACAATTGTGGGTCATTATTAAAATGTTCATTTTCAATTGTAACTAATTTCTTACTACATGACATCCATGATGGTACTATATCAGCAAGATCAATACAGAAATTACGATTTAATAATGCATATAAATAAGGATTTAAACAAGAATTAAGATACGCTAATGCGTGTGTAAATCCACGTATTGAATAAAGAACTTTAGGATATAATTGAATAAGAGAATTAAGAAGTTGTGGATTACCACATTTCATTAATTCAAGAATATGTATTGGTAACCAACAAATAGCAAATGCTAATGTTACAACAATAACCTACAAAACAAAAACAACAACATATTTATAAAAGAAAGATTAATATCTTTGATTTCGATGATAAAAGTTTGATAATTGAATGTATCCAACAATTTTTGCAACAATTCACAATAGTGACTAACAATGGAGTTACTATTCATTCTAAGTGACACAAAAAGAAACTTTTAAGATAAGATTTTCTTCATTATAGAAGACCTATCAAGATTAGATAAAATTAAGAATTAAAACATTCTCTTGTTAGCTAATAACTAATTTACTAAAATTTGATCTTTATCAAAGTATATCATTAAAAAAAATCGAATGCTGAAATTTTACTTACGATGAGATTTTAGTGTTGCTATGATATGTCCGAAAGTTATTGATAGTTTTACACTCTAGATATGAGTTCATAATATTCAGGAGTGATGTGATCACGAGAGGATTCAGGTAGGATATCTCTCTTGCTTTTGAAAATTTGACGATAGCTTTCTCTGATTTAGAAGAAAACTTCTCATGAGTCTTATCTGATTTTAACGTAATTTGAGATAAATCTTTCTTCAGTTTTATGTAATGAAACTAATTATCTTCTTGGCAACACAATTTAGAATCATTCATTCAAACTTCTTTACCCTTGTTGTTAATAAATGAAATTAAAAAAAAAGAACTTTGAAAATATTATCACAAAAATAGAACTAATCTCATGACTTATACATGATTAAAACCTCCAAATGCAAAAAAGAAAAGTCTGTGTCACTTTCAACGATAAAATGAGTTTGTCTATTTTTCGACAATTTAACACAAATTTGAGAGCTTCTAATGAAATTCGATAGTTATCGCATTGATTGATAGCTGTCCCATATGTGACCGCCTTTGATAATGAAAGAAATTAAGAAATTATTCTGACCTAAAGATAAACATTTCTGCTAGAAAGACTTGCCTCACTATGAAGAATTTTTTTTTTAGGAGCCTACATTAATGCTCGGCAGGTCTTTTGTTTTCTGTATAAATTTATAAACTTGTCTTATAATTTGATCTTTATGTAAAAGTCGATCGAAAGTAATAATAGTTTTGCAAATTAAATCATTGATGAATTGTATTCAATATAGAATATAATAATATTTCTGTAAAATGTCTTATGTAACCTTTGCTTCTTTCGACTCTGATGATTTTTGGTGGCTTCATTTCCTCAACTATTAACCATTTCATTTACTTTATCACGCCATTTTACACATGAATTGATCATTTCTTTTTTTGCTTCACTAACAGGTAAATACTATATATAAAAATAATCGGAACCAATCTCTTTCAACTGAATTATAATAGAAGAAATTTTTTATTTCAATGCCCATATCACTCGTATTTAGTAAAAATTAAAAATTCTCTCTCTCTCTCTGCCTCTTCTTATATTTCCTGATAGGAAACATTCATTCTGAATTAAGTGAAGAAATATTTAAAAATTATTTATAATATCGAGATCTCTACTCATTTTCAGACTTATTATATCAAATTAAGAAATCAACTTTGTTCCTTCAGATGACACAATTAAAATTCAATATTATGTTGAGTATTTCATATAATAGTGTTTGTTTATAAATGTTTTATAAAAATGGGGTTTTATTATTATTTTTTGAGTAAAATACAAATCATTTCCAAAGAATGTAAAGACCCATCTGAGCATATAAAAATTATCAAGAAGTATTCGAAAGTTTTATGCTACTTTCGAATGTTACTGTAATCTTTTATATAACATAGAACGACATTATACATCGGTTTTTTTTTTGATGATAACAAATAAGTGACTTTTATTTATGTGCTGTAGTTATATAGAAATTATTTATAAAATCTTTCTTGTCTATTTATGTTCTCATGTTTAAATGAAGTTTTAATATTAAAAATTTTTATCACAAAAATTTATATTTGATTTCTTATGAAACTATTTCACATATATATCGTAAATCGATACCAATATCATACATGTTTATTTTTCTTTACTCAGAAATGAAGAGATTTTGCATTTACTATTATAAAGTCATATTTATGATTATATTATTAAGATAATTAAAACAACCTAATAGTTCGATAATTTTATCTTACCATTCGTGTTACTCGTCGTTGTTTCAATTGTACTGTTTGATGAAAGCTTTTCTACAGAAAAAAAAACAAAGAATGAAAATTTAATTTTTTTTTCTTCAAAAATTTTCGTAGGTTTCATACAGTATTCACAATATCAGCCATTTTTCGACTTGTTCTTATCACATGTAGTGCCAAATTCGTATAACATACAATAATCACAATAAGGGGTATGGCATAATAGGAACAAAATGGAAATAAGCAAACAATCAAATTTTCATGTTCAGCCATTCCACAAGCGATAGAAGCTGATGTTAATACACGTGATACTACATGGTAAGGAATAATGAGAATTAAAGAGCCTATATTAAAAAAAAACAAATATTTCAATATATAGAAACCCATGTGATTCAAGCTTGGACAACAACTGCTGATAAATCGTCGGTATAGTATACACTATATTAGTGGTACTTGCTGGCAGTGACAAAAAAACTGCGGATATACCGACAGTCAACCGAGAGGAACAAATAGCATACTTCAAGAAACTTCAATCATAGAGACTTCCAGATACTTTATATCATTTCAGCATGTATTAGAAGCTGTTAGCGGAATTTCTGCGGGATTGAAATGTGAGACACGACGACGTAGTTTCTGTTGCTAGTCACAGAGAGACTGTTTTATTCTATCTACTTTGAGACACATTTCTTCATCATCTAGCTATTTAGTCTTCGAGAAATGCAATAAGGAAGTAGGACATATCTTATAACGAGATCTTATTGATATACGGTCTGTAAGGTGGGGAAGGGGGCGGGACTGCAGGAGAAAGATAGCGTCGTTATGGTGTCTGTCATGTCTGTGGTGACTCGTTGGTAAGATGTCTGTCACGTTGGAGGAGCGGAGCGGAGTGGTCCGAAGGGTCCCACTTTCCACTCTACACTTCAATACTCCTTTTAGATCGTGTTTCACAAAAGCCATAGGTTAAAGATTTTAAAAGACTTCGTGTGACTTCAAGATTGAAGTCTCTATTGTTTGATCCTTGCAGTCTACTGAAAGTAGTTTGATATATAGACATTCGGCTACCTTCTGATCATCATTCTATCGCGATATATCGATCGTTGTTCTCCGATCGGCAATCAACTGCCAGTGTATCGATGATAGTGCAAGCAAACATATAACACAGATGAATATTCATTGCATAAACTTACAAGCCCAAATGATAATACAAATTATAAAAGCATTATGTGGTGTACGCCATCTAAGTTTTGATTTTGGTCGAACAATATATAAAAATCGATCAATACTCATCATAGCTAATATATTACAAGTAGCTTGTAAAAATCCCTACGATAAAAAATTTATTAGAATATTCTATAAATTCTAATTAACTTACATAAGCAAGATATGTATAGATTTTGCATACAATATTACCAAATGGATATGAATTTTTCACACCTAAATATGTTGTGTACGGTATTGAAAGTGTTAAAAATAAAAGATCAGCTATAGCCAAATTAATAACATAACAATTGGTTACATTTCTATAATTTTTCTTTCGAATAGCTACATAAATAACCATGGAATTACCTAATACAAAAACAAGAAGACAACAACAATGAATTTATGTATTAAATTCAATTTTTTAAAAATTACCTATAAAACCAAAAATAAAAATTAAACAGTAAAATATAAGTAAGACCTGACCAGCAAATAATGGAGCGTCATGTTCTTCCGACGAATTGTCTGCTATTGTTTCGTTTATTATTACCATATTTCTATTTATTAAATTATTCGTTAATCATCTATTCTTACAAAATTATTCATCTAAATAAATGATAATAACAGTAAAATGACTCAGAATAGACTTTTTATTTAAGAAACGAAAAGCACTTTACTTCCTTAATAATCATTTCTGTTCATTAATATTCTATATAAAAAATTACTTTACAACAAAACAAAAGTAACAAAGAAAATAAATACAATTTTAATAAGTGATAATTTATATGATAAAAATACTCTTTATTAAACTTTTTTCTAAAAGGCTTTTTTTTTTCTTAAGTGCTGTCATGCATTCAGACGTCATTAAAATAGAAAGAATTTTTCATCAAAAAGAAAAGGAAATTAAAAAATGATTAGTTATCTAGTAATTTATCCAATAAAATAAGGTTTTCCTGGTCATATCTTCTTTTCTGTCTAAAATATCTATTACTATATAAACTTATTTATTCAAACAAAATTGACCTAGACTATTGTATTCATCATTTAATTAAAATAATAATTCTTCTTATAGAGAAATTGATATCATAATAGTTCCTATGCATCATATTCTAATAATATTATTTAAACATGGAATCGGCTATGATTCTACTAATTTTTTTTTTAATTAGTAATTAAAATCAAGCTCAAAGTTTCATATTAATCTTTCCTTTCTAAGAAGAAACATAGATAAAAAATTAATAAATACACCAATCATTAATAGATTACTTTTATCAGCATCAGCATCGATTGCCTACGGATATGATATATTCTTATTATAAAAGAAAAAAAATTAACTTCCGAAAAAAAATTATATTCTGCAAGAGAAATTCTATATATCATATAATAAAGACTATTCATTTTATACTAGAAAAAAAATCTAATCTGGTTCTATATTATTTTTCGTTGCATGTTGTGATACATAATATATTCGATTGGCAAAAATTTCAGGAGATACAGTAATGCATTATTAATGGATACACTCAATTTAATTTCCGGTCAAAAAATAAATCTTGGTTCTTAGGTTTCGATAAATCTAGTATTCGACATTATTTTCTTCAACAGATTGAAGATAAAATATTGTAAGAAAAGAATGCATGTGATAAAAAAACTTCTCATTTGACTTTATATATTTGAATCAGATACTAATTACCCTTTTTTTTTCTATCAAAGAAAATTTAAATATCTAAATGAACTTTAAAAATTCTCAAAAGAGAAAAAAGAACAACTAGTAAAAACTGTCAATTTTTTGTTTTTCTAAACATTTTTTATTGTTATGTTATAAATAAAGATATTAGTTTCTTGTATCTTATAAGAATCAAATTCAATCAATCGTTTTTAACCAAATTGAACTATTCATCTCATTGTTTATAATATGAGAAAAAAAACTAAAGCAAAATACAATAATAAACCTTTTCAACCATACTAGTTTTATCAACATAATTAATTGGTAGACTTTATATACTCAATATAAAATGAATACTTTGCTAAATTAAACAAAAAAAAAAGGTACAATTTAGTAAAAACTATGAGGTCTGAACCATATTTTATAGATAGGAATTCGTACGAATTTTTTATCTTAAATTTGTTATCAAATTATATAAAATTGATATTTAAATTATAAATGAAAAGAAGAATAGTTTAATGGAGATAATATTTAAAAGAAAGTTTTTATTAAAATAATAAATTGAATTTTAATTTGCTTTTCTTTCTAAACTATTCAGTGAATTGATTTTTGACTAAATGATATTCTCAATGAATTTATTTTTAATGATGAGATGAAAATAAGATAAATGAAATATTTCATTGAATTGAAATTTTAATTTCTTATGAGAAAAACATATAACGAGCCAAGTTTTTTATTCTAATTTTTTTTTGTCTATTTTTCCTATCTATACACAATGGGTATAATTTTCTTTCCGTCGAAGAATTATTATTATTATTATTCATTATACTTTTATATGCTAAATGTCTTGTGACTTAGATATACTAATGAAGATGCTAAAAAAAATAATGAAGACTTCATGTTGTATTCAAAAAAACAACGGAAAAAAGGTGTTTTTTCTTATGTTGTTAATGACATTATTGCGCATTGAGTTATTTTGATAAGATACACAAAGAATTTGTGTTCATTAGTATAAATAAACGTGATAAAATAGAATTAATTAAGCACGAAGACATAAATGAATCTAAACTATTCTGAAAAAAATCAAATTTTACTTTACAAAAATTTAACTAATTATATACTACGTTTTTCAATATAGATTCTTAAAAAGGACGTAATTACAAACATTTAACTAGTGATACTATATTTATAAATAAATACATAGAACTGAATGAATTTTTTTTTTATAAAAGAAAAAAGAAAATTATAAACAATGATGAAAATCATGTTTTTTCTGTTTTACTTAACAATATGGCGTATTGTAAACATTGCTGAATAAGGATACATGATGATTATAATATAAATAAAATTGTTTATTATCGATGATATAATATCGTCTCTCGTTTTCTAGTTTGTGTCCTATAAAAGACATTGCACTACTGTGTCAAAAAGAGAAACGTATAAATTTAATCTCATTCATCAATTGACGCTGTAAAAACCAGCATACTATATAATTATATATAAAGTAATTAGAGATATTTCGAGGTAACTAAGATTAAAAGAGAGGAAATTAACTACTGAGAAGGTTGAATTCACTACATTGGAAAGAGGGCGACCCTTGTTGAGAATATTGGTAAACAAGAAACATGAAGAATGATTCTTCAGTTTTGCTGAGAAAAAACAAAAGTGTTCCATAATTGGAAGAGGGATCATCTTCCTGCCATTGGGGACACCTCTGAAAGTAATATGTTGATTATGGGATACATAATATTAATTTAAGATGAGATTTTCTTTCAAGTATAACAAAGTTTAGATTAATATTATGAATAAATAACATTTTCTGTGTGAAATAAATTCGATATAAACAAAAGAAAAAATACAAGCTAGATATTCGATTTATTCTCATTATATAATTTATCTTGATATTTTCGATTGAATTTTCTTAATAACTACAAAAACAATCTTATAGAATGAAAAACTTTAAGATGATAGTGAAATATGCTATCCATCTATCTTGTACTTGACCTATTGTGAAAAGAACATGAAAGTAAATTAACCAAACATTATAAATCTACTTTCTTATCAATAATGTCATTCCACCTTCGATATTAATTAGATCATTTTAGGAAAACCAAAAACAAAATAAACTAGAAATTAATATCTTGAAATAACAAATACGTACTTATTTGTTAATATTGCATGCGAATGTATTCTTATTGTTCTTGTTATATATGATATAAAGAAATAAAGCAATAAGACAAACTTACCTAAATAAATTTCTAAGTAATCAATTCCAACAAGTATTGAACATAAAGATATTCTTATAGTTGGTATTTATTTTTTTAATGAATATATATTTATATATATATATATTGATATTGATCAAACAATATTCGGTGTACTTTTTTAATAAAACAAAGAAGACATATTCTTTTTGTTTTTTTTTCTATTAAGTTCTCTTTTATAATACATTTTTCACATCGTTGATTAAGAGGCCTATTTTCCTTCTACCAACTATTCAATAAACCTACTTTTCATAGATGAAACGCAAAGCTTTTGTTAATTGTCCTATCGACCAATGGAAACAACATATGAATCAGACCGTCAAATATTCCGATTATGTTTTCTGCGAAAAAATATAGAATAAAAATAATCATACATAGACACTGAGCTGAACTTCCTTTAATGCTAAACATATATGCGTACATTAGAGGGAGAGAAAGATTAAAAAAAAGTTAATAATCCCAGATGGTTAAAAAAAAAGAAAAAGAAGAAAAGAAAAATAACGCTATGAAAATATCTGAAAATTTTCCTGTATTGAAAAATTTCATAGATAGAATAACACAAAAGATATAGAAGATAATTTCTTTTTAATAATATTGATTAATAAAAATTAGTCTTTAAAAATTTTGTCGTCATAAAAAAAAACGATTATTATTCAAATGCACTACTCGTCTAATTCATAATAACATTTTAATACTTAACTTCAGTTCTATAGGAAATTTTTAGAATCGAAAAGTTTTTAATTAGAAAATGACTTCAATCGCTTCTGGTCCTATGTCAAAAAACCTACAAAGCTCATGACAATTTTATATTATAACTGAACTTAAAGATATTCATTCTTTAAACAAAAAAACGTTAAATTTCATTTTCGGAAATAGCCTATAGAATGGAAATACATACCTTATTACGATAAACAAAAAAAGAAACTATTTAAAATTATCAACAAATTAAAATTCTTATTGACTTTATTAAGGAAAAAGAAAATTAACAAACTGCAAAACTTAACAAAGCCAAACCAATTGAAACAAAAACAACCAAGAAATAGTGAAATAGAATACTCGAAAACATTTAAAGTATCAACTGTCTTAACTGCTTTCTTATTGTATCGTATCTAGATATATGATACTCAGATAATTATATACTATTATTATATTACAAAAAAAAAAGATTTTCATTGTTATTATTAGAGTTTGAGGAGAGCATTTTCAAACTAACATGCAACGATAAGAAAAGAAAAAATAATGAGTTCCAAATCTATGAATGCACTATTTATTTTCCAAAAGAAAAGACAAGGAAATGAAAGTGTTGAAAGAAAAATTGTTATTCATCAATTTCTAACTGATAAATGATTCGTACAAAATTTAATTATATTATTCAAAGAATCAACTTTCTTTTCTTTAATAAAGGAATATCATTACTTTGGGTTTAGTAATCTAAAATTCATCAAATATAATTTTTCTCTAATTATATTTTAGGTTGAATTTTATCAATGTTTAAATCTATTTTTAAGCCTTTTGATTTCAACACACATAATTCTTTTGTCTAAAAATATAACAGGCTTTTTATGTTCGACAAGCATTCTCAGGGCAGCTAATGTATCTTTTGAATGAGTTTGACCTTATTTTTTTTTGTATTTGATAACAGGGTTCTTGAGTTTTATTTTAATAAGACAAAGACATGCCACTAATTATGATCCAACTGCAAGACAGAATAAAATTCCGGTTGCTAAAATGACATATCGAACTAAAATGTCAAGGCTTAATAAAGAAACAAAAAAGTCTAATTCTAATGCATGATAAGTATCTTCTTTTTCCAGGCGACATGTTCATGTTTCACTTAAATTATACTTATTCCATATATTCTATTGTAAAAAAAAGACTGATTTAAATTTGTTTATTCATTCTTTTTTTGTTTTAAAAGATATAAGTTTGATACTTGCATAGAAATGGGAAAATAGTTTGACTATACTATAACTTAGTAAAAGCGTTTGTAGCCATTATTTTATAAATTAATGCGTTTCATTTTCATAATATTATTATCGAGATAATTGATTGATGTCATCTTCTTTTTTACGTCGAACTATAAAATGAATTCTTTCTAAAAAAAAAGAAGAAACCATTGTATTGTAGTTTATGATATCTGTCAGAGTGACAACAAAATTAGTACGAAAAGAGGAAATATTGTTTGATAGCTTTATCCTTTCTTATTTTATACAACTAAAACTTTTGATAATAGATTGAGAATAAAAAAAAGTTTTTTTTTTTTTAGTGCCAGACGTTGTATAATATTTACATTGCCGTTACAAGTAGAGATAAAATAGAAAAGATATTGATCTGTTTCTTCCTAGTAAGCTTTTAGACTTTTAGCATGACTAACCTCGAGATGTAGAATTGACTGATGCATATTTTTATTAAGCTTTATATTTTGATGAATTACAAAAGAGAAAAGAATCTATAGATTATATATAACTATTTTAATTGAGATATGATAAATTTTGTATGATACTCTGTCAAATTAGATCAATGTCTGAAGTCAAATGAATATATTTAATTACAAGAAAATAACAAATATGTTATTTTATTTTTTCTCAATCTTAGTATTCATTGGATTGAAAATAAGAGAAATCATTATTTTTATATTTCATAAAACAAGATCTAAAAGCAATTTAAAAAAAAATATACTCATCTTTAGAACAGACTTTCTTCAAATCTTATATATCGGACATCATTTTTTTCTTCAATCAGTGACCAATCGAGGACTTAAGTGAAATGAAACACTTTAGTAGAGAGCGAAATGATAATTATGGTGAAAAAAATGCGTTTCGAAGTTCATTCGACATCGTATCAATGCTTTTTTGACCTTGTTATCTAGAAAAAAACCAAGGAAGAAATTAATGGTGAAGCAGATACAACACTTTCAGCATCATCTTCCTAAAGCCGCTACTGTTTTCTGTAGAGATATTATTATAACACGTACTTAAACCGTCCCATAAGACTGAGTTTGTGTAAATGGTATTATCCCTCTGTGTTCATTGTTTTCTTGATATAAAGATGTTATCAGTTATAGCTTTATGTTTCTTTCGTTCTATCAAGTATTTTCTATGTTGTTTTTTTCCTAGTTTGTTCCTAAACTGATTTTCTTACTTTTATATAATATATTATGCACTTTTCAAATGTATTATGTTACATGTTGGAATATTCTGTCTTTTGATCAAAATCTTTCAGATCAATAATGCATGGCCGATTCTGACTGAAACATAGTAAGAACTTGTCAACAGGAATAGAATGTCGGCATCCAGTTGTAGAATTTTCTCGATTCCAGTCGTGAAACGAGTAGGTCAGGTTACCAGGTACGATTATCGCATTCACATCTTCGAATTCTTACCGTTTTATGAAATCTCTCGACCGAAAACGACGTCTTTCCTGCAAATTTCGACTGGAAATCTATGCATTTCGACAGAACAATCATTGATCTTGACTAATATAAATGTTTGCCATCTGAATGTGAAGAGAATTTCTTTCTTTTTCTGTTTTTTGAAAATAAACTTCTTTGACACAACCATCCATTACGATTCTAATAGATCTACATCACGAAAGCCATTTTAAAACTAAATTTTGTATGTAATGAATAATTTTGTTTTATTTCAACTTCATCTTAATTTATTCGATTACTAAGAATTAAAAAGCTATATCGTTGCACTAGTTATCGCAGTTCTAATCAATAGAGTTGTATAATAAAAATGTTACGAAAAAAATATGATAACAATAACTTTTTAGAATACAATCGAAAAAAAAACGATAGATGTTTAACATAAGCAGTTTGTATACTAATTGCTTATCAGAAGATCATTATTATGTTGGACAGATGACAGATAACACAAACATCATTCATCAATGAAGAGAACATATGCGAAAAAAAATCTAGATATACAACAAGATAAAGACTTTGAGAAAATATTTAGTGGAATATCAAAGTTTTTGTTTGTACGATAAGATTTTTAATTATCTTATAATTTGTATATATGTTATTGCATTCAAAGATTTTTTGGTCCTCGTTGAATTCGAATTGCTGTTACTGAACTATCAGATGATGTTATTTGATCTCGACTATCATCATTTGAATGATATTTTTCTTCTGTTGATGGACGTCTAGCTCTTGGCGGCGGAGCAGGTTTTGGTGCTGGTCTATATATCATTAAATCAGTATTTGGTGTACTACGAACAGTCGAATGATTCAATGCAAGACATCGTGCAATAAGACCAACGAGAATCATTACACCAATAAAAACAAATGCAATAATTGATTCGATTGGAACAAAATCATGTCTTGAACGTGATGGTGATGACATATTGACACTTGTAAAATGCTTTTTCCTTTCACATTATTTTCTTTTTTCCGGCTTAAATAGTACTTTTTATATAGATGCCATGCATTATATATAATCTCTGGTTTTACTCAACTATTAAAGCAAACATTTACATTTGTGACATGAAAACATGTCATGATCTTACGATAGAATATTAAAAAAAAAAAGAAAAAAGAATAAAGCAAATGTAAGAAAAAGAGAAAACTTGAGCATAGTTGTTGTTTTTCTATCGGAATATACCTGTGCTTAGATAAAGAAAACGAACAAAAATAGTAGATAATATCTTCGCCATAAGATTTGAGCAATTCAGCATTAAAAGGTTTCTTTTTTTAGCGTTTTATACAAGAAACAACATTTAAATAATTTTCAGTCACAAAAAAACCTAATAATTCAATGACAATCATAAATAATATTCATTAAATAAATACATAAAACGTCTGTTTGATGACATTAACTATAATGATTAGGTTTTTTTTATTAGATCAACATTTGTAAAATTTGATAAAACAAAAGTATTGTACATCTTGATTTTTTTATTCAAAGGTTTGTAACATTACAAGTTAAATAGTCAACAAAATTTTTTTCAACTACCTTTATAAGTCAAAAGAAAAAATTCATGTGAAAGCAATGTTGAACTCATGATTGATATGTAAAACCTCGCCGTCAATAAATACACTACATTACAAAGAAAAAAATAAAGTGAATTTACTAATTTACATTAAATACGACACTTCTGCACTATTCAGATCAATATCACCATTGTTTAATGTCTTATAAAATCAAAAACAAAAATGTGATGTATGATTTTCTTGAAGATTAATTTAAACCACTGCAATTATAATATGGATTGGTCATACTTAACTATTTAACTTGCGATCATTGTTCTTTTTAAGGAATATTAGTAATTCATTTTTTGTGAAAACAGACGTATTTATATTCAAAAATGAGTGTGAAAGAGACAATAAACAAAACAATAGAATCTATGTGACGTGATTCCAGGTCATCAATAATTTAAATTCACTGAACTGAAAAAAAATAGCACTTTTTACTGAATTAACTGCATATAAAAATTAAATGGCGAAAAAATTCGAATTTATAAGACAAATCAATCAATTGATAATTGGTATTTTTTGTCCAGTGAGTTCAATCGAATTTTTTTTTTAAATATAAAATATCAAGATACTAAATCTCTAGATGATATTGAGCGAACAATAAATATCCTAATTATTATTTATGTGAAATTCTCAAGTTTGTTTATTGAAAATTAAATATTTTTCAATCATTCTTTTTGCAATTAATTATGTCAAAAGTACAATGTGTATATCATGAATAAATATTAAAGTATCTTTTTCAGGACGCCAAGTATGTATTTATTCAATATCTCGTCCATTTCAAAGAGGACGCTCCAGCAGAATAATATTAATTAATTGAAATATACAATTATAAGTATTTTCTCATTCGTTGAAAAAAGAACATTTCCATGAAAATTAAAGACCTTTTATGCTATTTGTAGAAATTTTCTAATGACTGAATCAGAGGGAAATGCTCCGTGAATTCCTTGTCTCTTCTTCTATGATTGTGTAATTTTAAGATACAGCTTTTAACCTACAAAACCTATACAAATACAATAAAATACCATTAAAACAGTTTTCTGTCGAATAATATACAAAAATTTTAGTGATTTTTTTTCTGATGATCGTAGTAAACAAAGAAATATTATTGTACCATACGTTTCGTAAAATAAACTTTTTATATAAACTATTCAATGTGATTTTATTTTTTTTCTTACAATCTTACTAAACTTTAACGATAGAATTTTATATGCAAATAAGGGACATATAAACTGTAGGAGCCAGACATTCTATTTTTGAGTTAGATTTCTGTAATGAATTAGTAATATTTCTGTTTTTTAAAAGAAAGATTTCATAGTAAGAATAAAAGCAAAGTCTTCAACAAAAAAAAACGTTTTGTCAATATCGATTTTCGTTTATTTTCTAAAACCAAATTAATATGCGAAACATAATCAATTTAAAAAATAATCAAACATTTCATGTTTAACTGTTTTCTTCAATCAAGAAAAACAAATCAAAATCGAGAAATATACTTCAACGAATTACGTTATGCTTTACCCAGTCATGTATACAGAAAGCACCAAATACTAAAAGATATAGAGTAAATGAAAACAATTTGTGGCAATGGTTTACTTCATCATGAAATGGATAGGACAACTCGAGGAGAAAATCGCAGACTTCAACACTTCATAGAACTTCACGATACTTCAAGTACAGAGATTTCAAGTTTTCAAGAAGCTTCAAAACACTTCACGGGACGTTAAGACTTACGTGTCTGTTGTTTCTCATTGAACCAAACTTGATGGCAGTTCGTCATCGAAGACAAAATCGCATTCTCAAGTTGTCCCGAGGAAGAAACATCAGAGGCTTCAGTCTTGAAGTCTTATGAGGTCTGGAAATCTCATAAAGTTTGTCGAAGTTCCATCAAGTCTTAACGAATCTTAAGAAGTGTTGGATCAATAGCTTTTAATATATGCTGAAGTTTCATGAAGCTTTCTGAAATCGTATGAATTCTTTTCAAGTCTTTTGAAGTTTCTCGAAAACTTGGAGCCTCTGTGCTTGACGTCTAGTGAAATCTTTAAGTCTGAAAGTCTGCTGTTTACTTCTTGGTTCGGTGGCTTCATCCGAAGCGTATATATGTAGTACTTAAATACACTGGTTTTCAACATAATTTATATTTCTGTTGGTAAGATATTCTTAATGAACTCATTATTAACTATTCAAAAGTCTAATATAACTTTGCGCATGTGTGGTACGGTAGAGCATATATAATACTGCACAAATTATATTTCTATATATGCTTTACAAGCAATTCAACAACAGTTATTGCATCATCTTCATATGTTCTATTTTATCAGGATAAAATAAATATAATAATGTACAGAGAAAAACTTTTTTTTATTGTATTCTTTTAAAGTAGATATGTTAATTAATACCTTGTAAAAAATATTAAAATCAAAGTGAATACCACACCAATACCAATACTTCAAAGGTAATATTAGTTTTGGTGCATACCTATTCTAAAGTTTGAAAAGTAAATCGTTGTTGAGATTATTATATAGTCAAAATGTTAAAATAGATTGCTAGATTGTGTACATGAATCAATATAACATAATTGAAAAACATTTGTGTCAATATTTTCATCAATCCTCATCGCTCACTGAAACACCTAAGCAATCATCAGCCACAGAAAAAAAACAATCAAATGAATGTGGTGAATGATCTTCATTAAATAAATATGCAAAAGCTCCATGTGGTGACGGTGTCCATGATGATTGACCATTTTCAGCAGATAATGATTCACAAGGATTAATAAAAGCAAAATATCGTGCACCTTTGTTCAAAAGACATGATAGTGTTACAGGCTAAATATTCCAATATCATTGTTACTAATTATAATTAAAAAAAAACAAAAAGTTACTTGGAATCGATTTTGTGTCCAGAGTCTATCTGTAAATTCTTTTCGCCAAGGATATGGACCTTCAAAAGTTAGTCCATTTATACCAGGCACAATCAATGAATTAACACGAATAAGTCGAAGTTGATCAATATTATTATCATTGGAATTAAAATAGGCAAATCCACCTATTTTGAGTAAATTTGATTCATCTGAATCATCCAAAGTAACATCATCATCATTAAGTATATATTTAGGTGGATAGAGCCAACAAAAATGTGTTGCATCGTCTGGAATATTTACTGTTGAACGTGCAAATCCTTCAAGCGTAATTGGTGCAATTGGAGCATAAGTACCTGTCGCTTGTGCTTCATGAATTAATTGTCGTCCTCGAATTTTAGTAATCCTATATTGACATGTAGATGGCAATAAGACTAATGAAATATCAGCTTCATGAATTTCTATACATAAATTTATGAATATATTTTTAATATATAGTATTAAATACTTACCAAAAGGTCCTAATGAATCGATAGATTGAAGATGACATTTCTCAATCAATTTAGATATGTCATGTCTTACTTGATAAACCCAACAATTATTTTGATAAAATATCAAACTGTCTTGTGGTATTCCAACTTCTTCAAGCTTTTGAACTACTGCTAATGGTAGAAAATTAGTATCAATCGTTTGCATCACGTTTTATACTTTTTCGTCGTGTAAGAATACTGTTTTTTTTGTAGGCTGTCTTAAGTTCTTTTATTTACTATGGTAATGTCAAAAGTTTATAAAGGACTTGTTTCTCTTCTGCTCGACCAATAAAAGAAAAAGAACGCGAAGAGTCTCTTAAAAGGCATCTAAAAAGAAAACATTATTTCATAAAAAAGGAGCTTGTCAATGCATCTCCTTGAGGGTTGATATATGAAACGCACACGTGTTCTTTAGCCATGAAGTGTTAATATAAAATACATTAAGTGTAAAATCTCTAACATTATATCGTTATTTTTCAAGGATAATCTATCATCAACCTACCGGTCTGTTACATTTATTTCTGTGTTTCGAACAGAAATTTTTTTCATTTCTTACAAGCGATCTGTTTTGGTGGCCTCGGTGTTTTTCATTTCTGTATGACGTTTTCTTAATTTAACATAATTATTATTATTATTATTGTAACCATTGATTTTACGGTAAAATAAATTGGTTGTTTACATCCATTCTATTTACAAGTCTTCATGCACTATGAAATATCTCAAATAGTTCAGAAACATTGATAATGATTTTTCCCAAAGGATTCATCCCACTTTGATCAAAAAGAAAAATATCTAACAATAGTAGTGTCGAAATTTGAGAAAAGGAATATAAAAACGTAGTACATAGAAGTATCGAAAAATAAAATCGAGATAGATAAAAACATCAAATAATAAATATATCCAACTGTAAAGAGATTGAAAGCTTGCTGAAATGTTCAAAACTATATAATTTATTATTTAGTTATAGATAAAGAATTCAATATATTTATTTCATTTATAGTATGGATATCCATAAGAAAAACAAATCGTTTTTATGAGCAGCAAGGTGAAAAAAGAGGAAGAACTTAAATATAAATTAGCTAGTGCCTTGCAAGTTTTATATCTATTTCTTTTTGTTTGAAAAAGATGTAACAAGACAGAAAGAAGACTCGATATATTGATCAGTCCATTATTGTATCGTTCATAAAGAGTATTAATACGATTTTGTATTGCTGTAGGTATGGATGTAGACATTGGGTAACTTTGCAAACATCCAGATCTACTAGTCATATCTTAGAATGAAAACAATCAAAAGAACTGAAACTCTTATAATAAAATATTTTTATTGAAACCTATTCATATGCTAAGTTCTCTAATAGAACTTCGAAAGTCAGTTTTCATGATGTTGTTGAGGTGAGCATGGCATTGTGCTTCACAAATAGTGTAAAAGTGCAACATTCCGAGTACAATAAGCTCGGATTCTGAATCTTTTTCCAAGAGTATTCATAACTCATTTCAACCTATGTATAATGCATAGAGCCCTGATTCAAAAGGAATTGAACAATTGTGGAATTTCCCTCATTAATTGATAATATACATGGCTGATATCTTGAGCCTTGCATCAGACTCTGAAACCTGAGTTTGCTAGAGTCAATGTGAAAAAAATGTTTTTTCCGAAGTTAGAGTCGAGACTGCGGAAGTGAAAATGTTCGAAATCGGATTCGGATTTCGGAGTTAAAAAGCTTGACTACACAGGACTCTACCAATATATCTTATATTTATATCACGATGCTATATAGTTTGTTATTTTTCATAGATCACAGTAATTGTTTAATGCTTAAGTATATTACGAAAAAAAGATACGACTTTTTCATGGCACATTGATAACTAAA